CAGTGATTCGCAGTGCGCGCAGGAGTGGATCATAGCATCGGACTCCTGTTCTTCACCCACATCAAAGGCGGAGACGGGCCGTCCAAGTCGCAGATGTTGTCGCGTGAGCACCGGCGACGGCATTCGTTGACAGTTGGGGCCGTCGACGCGTATGTGATGACCGTCCTAGGCCTGGAGCACAAAGGGCGGCAGAAACCATGCCCACGTAGAGAGTCAAAGCAAAAGCTCGACTACCACTATGGTCTGGAATCTCCAGATTTTACGCAAGTGTAGGCTTGAACGTTGGGACTTATTTACAGGTAAACCTCCAAGAGCCAATCACTCAGCGCAAATGACACCGGCCATTGCGCCACTGAAGACGGCAGAGGGACTGCGAAATGTCCAATGTGTGGAGACGAGCCGTGACGAGTCATGGTACTAGCCATGGAGTTGTCAAGGGATAAGCGAGCTCCCAGATCTTTGAAGCCAAAAGTTGGACATGATGACCCAGTCATGGGGCGGTCTCTGGAAGTGAGCTTCGTCAGATGGAGCAACGGCCTGAAGCGGTGGTTTGCAATCCGTCGCATTGTCTCCAGATGTTCATGCAAGGCCGCAAATGTCCTGCAGCCTGGTCAGCACGCCTCTAGGAAACGTTGATGGGACACAGCATGGGACTCACCTTTCTTCTCTCCCTGAACTCGGCATAGATACGGTTCCAGATCGTTCGAGCCGTGCAATCCTCGCTTCCATCGTCTTCCTTGACACACTTAGGCTGCTTCTCGTTCAGCAGGTTTTCGGGCGTCGGCAGCCACGGCTTGGGGACAGGCCAGTCCGAGAAATGCAGAAACTTGGCCTCGTTGAAGACAGCCACCGGATCCCACACCTCCTCCTTGGCGCCGAGGTACATTTCGTGCGTCGTCGCGCGGAACTCTGACGTTAACAGGTCATACGGACGGTGGGGTATGACAAGGGCCGTGTCCTTGTAAAGATAGTTGACGATCTCCATGTCGTAGTCATCTGGCCCAGCAGCGTTGACGCGGTCCTGGACGCGGGCGAATTCGGTCGCCGAGGGGGTGGCGAGTAGTAACTGGGAGGAGAGGATGGGTTTCTCGGGGAAGAGCCAGTAGGCGCGGGGCATGGCGACGGGGCAGGGCGGGAGCAGGAAGAGTTCGTCCATGTTCTGGACTACGACGGAATCCGAGTCGAGCGAGAGGACGCGATCGTAGTTGGTCTGGTTGAAGGCTAGGAGCTTCGTAAAGGAATCCGCCCATGTCGCTAGAGGATTGGGGATGACACGTTGGCAAATTGCTCACTTGTTGTACAAAGGGAAAGAACCTAGAGAGAAAAATGGCACATACAATCTTTCCCGGTTCTATGCTGAACTTCAATCGGCACCAGCTTGACGCCGTACTGTTCACGCGCCTTGATGAGAAGACGGCCGTCGAGCGTAGCGCTCTCGGATGCCGTGGGCTCCAGCATGCGCCTGGGGTACATCATGACGCGATCTGCTTTGCTCTGTAGCCTGGCGAGGCTCTCAAACAGCATAACGGAGTTGCAGAGGTACTCGCTGTTCGTCACATATTGGGTGTATGCGAAGCGCGACCAGTCATGGTCGTGGCCGGGGGCTTTTGATGACGAGGACTCCGGAACGCCTGGTTGTCCCGCCTCTTGTGCTGGCGCCGAACCGGCGAAGTGATCATGGCCCTGCAGACCGAATAAAACGAAGGTGGTCAAGATGATCAGGCAGGCAACCCAGCGAAAGCGTTTCGAGGCAAGAAGCGCGGCCAGACGGGGACTGCTTCCTAGACCACCATCAGGTGAGTTGGCGCCATGTTCCGCGGTAGAAAGTCGCGCGTATGTAGGCGACGTCAGAGAACGGAAGAACTGCGCTGCCATGGCTACGAACTGGGGAACGCTTGAAGACTTCAGTGTTCAGTTCAGACTGTCTGGTGAAATTGACGACGGGGAGAATGCTTGAGTTTATGAACCGGCGACACGGCGTCGCACGTCGGCAGACGCGTGTTGGTCACGGCAACTCCCGAGGGACGAACTGGCCTTCTCGTCTACCTTGGATGAAATGACCCTTGTTTTAGGCGAAAAGGCTCATTTTCGACTCGACACCACAACCCCGGTCATTTGGCGGCCATCGGGGAGAAGGCTGTTGGCGCCCTATCTGTTGCCGTTAACCCCTGTCCGATGAGCCTCATTGAGTTTGCGGTATCCACTGGGAGCAAACGCATGGCCACTCACAATGGTCTTTTGGTAGTACAAGTAACTCAATAGACGCTCAAGACGAGTTCAGGGCCGGAAGTGTTTCCCGTACAAAGATCAGCTGTCATGCAAGCCTGTTACATACTGGGTTGGATTTTGCCTGCGCCGTGTGCGTTGTGTGCAGGGTGCAGAATATCATATGGCACGACGTCTGGCTCCTGACCAACCAGTTCCTCTGGCCATGGCTCAAGGGTTCGGAATCCCTTCGAAGCCCGTTCGATATATTGCCTAGCCTTGCCATGTGCATGGAAATCATAGGGGAAGGCGCTCGTAGCTGAGCTGGCCAAGTTTTACTGTGATTCTTATGGTCCTTACGTCCCCTTCTCCCTTTCCGAAGCATTCTATTCAACACCTGAAAACTGGTTTTATGTTTTGTGTCCGCTCAACACCAGCAGGCGGCTTGCAAAGCTGTTTTCGATAGCCCGCGATGGCAGTATTCAAAGTCAGATATTTTAGCTATGTTAGCGCCGTGTTCTGCTTCTTTCTCTTTTCTGACATCTCTCAAGTCAACGCACAAGCCCCCATTCAAGCACAATGGTCATCCAGGGGCTATGGCGCTGATGGCCCATGGCCTGCCGTCGAGGTCACCGTGGGCTCCGATTCCAAGCTCGCACTCTTCCCGGGACGGCCGTTCCAGACATTTGTCATTTCTACCGACTACTGCCGGCTTAACATCTCGGAGGGCTGCTATGCCTCCATGGCCGGCACATACAACAGGGCTCAGTCCGAGATGGAGAGAACTGGCTCCGACATGGGTATCCGGTTCTCGCCACCTCACAAGGAGTCGATGCTCGGCATGTCCGTCCGCGGCGGTGACTTCGTCTCCTGGGTTGATTCCGCGGATATTGGACACGCCAGAGTCGCAGATTCAAGCCTTGTGCTCATCGAGTCGCAGATGATGGCCTACCCTGGGGGCCAATGGTACCCTATGTCGGCTGGTTGCCTCGGCGTCGGCGGTCCCAGTGCCATCAATCAATCCTTTACCACCGGCACATACCCTATCAACGCCACCCTCATTCCTGGCAGGCTCTGGGAGAGAGGCGATGTTCCCTCCAACTCTTTCGGCCTTCACATTGGCTCCATGCAGCCTCCGCTCGGTGGCTCTCTGTGGTTCGGCGGTTATGACAAGAATCGTGTCATAGGCGATGTCCTCGTCACAGCTACCAGCTTCCACGAAGCCCCGATCACCCTCAGGGACATCAGCCTAGAGGTTGTACAGGGCGCGTCACCCTTCACTTTCGACACCAAACAAGACAACCTCCTGACAGCCAACAACGACACCATGGGCAGCGCCCTTCCCGTCTATGTCGACGGCTGCTCCCCGTATCTCACGCTCCCGAAGTCTACCTGCGATAATATTGCCTCGCACCTCCCCGTCATCTACGACTCTGGCCTTGGCTTATACCTCTGGAACACCAGTGATCCCTACTGGCCCCTCGTAGTATCATCTGCCTCTGTCCTCGCCTTCACCTTTCTCGCCAGCTCGAACACTGAGACCCTTGTCGTCCGCGTTCCTTTTTCACACTTAAATCTCACGCTCACTGCCCCTCTCGTCAACGGCGATCCCAAGCCGTACTTTCCCTGCTTCACCGGCGGCGACGGCCTCTACACCCTCGGCCGGGCCTTCCTGCAGGATGCCTTTCTGGGCGCCAACTGGAACCAAGACAAGTGGTTTGTGGCCCAGGCGCCCGGGCCAAAGGTGCAGGCCTCGCCCGACGTGGTGGCCATTCAGGAGAGCGACGAAGCCATTGAGAGTGGCTCCAACGACTGGGCGGCGTCGTGGGATGGGTTCTGGAAGGTGCTCACCCCAGACGAAGTTGACGTTGGCCCTGCAAGCACCGGGCTCAATACCGAGACGGCGTCGCCACCAGGTGACGATACAGCCGGGGATGGCGGTGGGCTGTCTACTGGCGCCATGGCAGGCATCGGCGCCGCGGCCGGGGCGGTCGTTCTGGCGTTCCTGGCGGCAGGCTTCTTGCTGTGGCGGAAGCGCAAGGCCCGGGCTGGTTCGTCAAAACGTCAGCAGCCAGTCGACGCCAATCTGAACGGCTGCCATGAGGATGGGGTTGTAAAGGGACCAGGAGGGTACCGGTACGGTAATCCGGCCGAGTTGCGGGACACGTCGCCGCCGTCAGTTGTGAGAGAACTGGACGGCAATGCACAATGGCCGCAGCATGAGGGCGATGACAATAATGGACCAAGAACTCACGAGCTGGCATGATTTGACTGCAGGTACATAATAGTTATCACGCACATTTGGTAGTATGTATACGACATTTCATGAATTTTGGATTGCTGACCTCGACAAGGCACAGGGGCCTCATTTCTTGCCTGAAAACCAGGTGACACTGTCGAGTCTCAAGTGACCCGAAGTAGTAAACAATTCCTCAGAGAATCGAAGCTGCAACTTCGACAAAAGTAGGTACTTCGTTCGATATCGCATGTATGGACGGCAGACCCTTGAGGTGCTCTTTGAATATTGTGGTCGGATGCAAAGTGACGCGATTGCTCTACAACTGTTTTGTGTTACTGTACAATATGATACCAAGCGCAGCAAACTCCTCAAGGCCTGACCTAGGCCGAGCCATTTTTTGTTTGCCAATCATGTGACAATCTCTCATGCGAGCCCTGTGCTCTGCCACACCGTGCTTCTTGCTCGCGATGCGCAAGCCATGCTGTCCCTCCAAGCCATCCCTCCAATACCACCATTATGCTTTCGAAACCCGAACTGACACGTGGTGAGTGGAGCTCTAATCGTCATCCGTGTAGCGAGGACCGCTCGCAGCAGGTGTCTCGGGCGCGCCGTATGCTGCTGGTGTGGGCGCGCTGTAGTAGCCCGCGCCGGACGAGAAACCGCTGGCAGCGGGTGTGGGCGCAGCGGCCGCTGGGGTTGGGGCAGCATCCGCGCCGCCCCAACCGCCGGCCCAGCCGCCGGGTGTTGGCGCGTTGACGGCTCCGGGTGTGGGGGCTGAGTAGGCGCCTGGTGTAGGGGCATTGAGCGCTCCGGGTGTGGGTGCGCTGAGGCCGGCACCGGGCGTGGGAGCATCGTAGGCGGCGGAAGCTGAGTAGCCGCCCCATGAATCACCTCCACTAGCAGCGGGCGTTGGCGCTGAGGCTCCTCCATAAGCGGGCGTCTTGGATCCGGAGCCCCAGGTATCAGCGCCGTAAGCTGGCGTTCTTGATCCAAGGCCGAACGCATCGCCACCAGGGGCAGGCGTACGGGCGCCAGATTGCCACGCCGGTGTTCGATTCCCGCTGCCGTAGGCGGTACGGCTGCCGTCACCTCCATAAGCTGTGCGTGAGCCATCCGCCCATGCAGGCGTGCGGGAACCAAGATCACCCGATCCGCTCGACTTCCAAGCGGGGGTTCTACCACCGTGGTTCGCTGCGGGTGCTGTGCCTTTGTCAGTGACGGGTTTAATATCAGTAATGATAAGTGAAACTTACTCCTAGAGCCCCACGCCGGAGTACGCTCTGCGCCGGCCATGGGTGTGCGACCTCCCTGCCAGCCCGAGTCGCCGCCGCCGCGACCACCTCCGCTGCCAAAGCCGCCGCCCCTTCCACGGCCTCCACGGCCACCAATATCGATAACGGCTCCCGTGTTCTTGTCCTTGTAGCTGAGATGGTCTTTGGGCACACTGACGGTTTTGCTCTTGGTATGCAGCTCAACCCGTGCATGTGTTTCCGTGGTATCCTTGACAATACCCAGCAGACCTTTGTAGCCGCCCTTCTTGATAATGACAGTCTGGCCAAGCGCGCGATCACGACCAAAGGACTTGGGGGGCGCCATCTTGCCATCTGAGCCAGCAGGAAGCCTCTTCATGGCAGGGTTCATCTGGTCCAGATTGGGGCCGCTGGGGACCACGCGCCCACCCTTGGCTGCGATAGTGGTGACGTTGCCTGCCCTGGTCACAAACACACCAGCATTCTCCTTGTTGTCATGGCTGTGCAAATAGATGTAAGATCGGTAGATGTGGATGATCTTGCCCTGTCTCTGCTGGCCACCCCATTCACGGACAACGTCATCAAGGCGGATCTCTGATCCGTTTCTGTCGGCCGCAACAGCAATCTTTCTCTGAGGGAGTTTGTTGGTGATCTGCGACGGCACGACTTGACGGGCGTCGCCATTTTGGTCGAGGACAGCAACCGATTCGCGATCGACTTTAACGATGCATCCGACAGTCGTGGGATCCAGTTGAACAAGATCAAGCAGCGAGTACTGGCCGAGGGATCCCTGGCCGCCCATGTCGCTGGCCTCGCGTACATCCTTGCTGAAGACGGTGACTTCCATGTTTGTCTGATCGGTGACAAAGGTGACACGATCGTCTTGAATCTTGACAACCATACCAACTTCATCCCGGAATCTGCTGCCACCGATGACCTTTACATGGTCACCCTCCTTGAACCGCTTGCGCAAGCCTTTGGTGGGCACTTCGATGACTTGACCCGCCAAGACGCCCTCGATAACCTCCAAGGTGACGATGTCACCAGAAACGGTGGTAGCTCGACCGACGACGCCCTTCTGCTCGCCTTCGTACACCTCAATAACATCGCCGGGCAGATATGTGACGTTGGTGTTGCTGTCCTTCAGGCTTGCAGCAAGCGCCTTCAGATCAAGGTTTTCCGTGCCGTCCTCGGCACCTGAGGCGAAACGGGTGACCTCCTCTAGAGTAGGGTTGACATCGGTAACAACCAGCTGCTGAATCTTGTATTCCTTCACCTGGAAGCCATTCTCGAAATCATCTCCCATGTAGGTCCAGATTTTGGTTTGAGGGTTGCCTTGGATGAACCGAGGGTGTCGCTTGCGAGCCTCGGCCTCGTTGAAGAGGCGCTGCGGAGGCCGGGGGCCGGGCATGCCCACCGGACGCTTGCGTTTGCCATCAGCCGTAATCTGGGTGGCGGAGTCGTCCCGTACACCATAGTCCAGTCTGGGGATGAAACGAACACGAGCTTCAAGGCCACTCTCGGTAACATCAACAACTTGGCCCAGGTCGCCAGCGTGTTTCTGTGGCCTCTTGAGCCGAACCCACGCTCCTGGCTCTAGGGTCGCGGTCTTGGTGACGCGCAGAAGATCGGGACGGTCTTTGATCTCAACCAGAATCAGCTTGCTTCGGGGGTAGACATTGAGCATGCCATCGAGTGCGGCCATGATATCGCCAGAACGCGCTGCCTCAACGTAAATATAGCCCTTCATGACCGAGTTGGTGCCGCCACGCTCAAAGGCAGAGATGATGGCCATCTCCTCTTTTGTGCCCATGCGCTCTTGGATCCTCTTCTGAATAGAGAAGACAACCTCTCGCTCCTTTCCTTCCTTGCATCGCACGGCCCAAATAGTGGGATCGTCAACACTAGGCATCAGCAGACGCTTGGGAACCACGGTCGAGTCACCGAAGCCCTTGGCTGCGCGACGATTGCCGTAACGTTGGCGGAGGATCTCGGCTTGCTTCTCGGCGTCCATGCTGGACTCCAGCTCTCGCTGACGGTCAAGCTCGCGGTGCCTGCGATCGTCATTGAGTCTTCCGGTATCGACGACGTCGTCAGGATGTTCGTTGTCGATAAAGTCTCCTATCTCTTCGCCGTCTTTTTCGTCATCCTCGCCATCTTCCTCATCGTCGACTTCGGCTTCGATATCGAAGAAAGCGGCGCGCCTGTCTCGGTGGCGCTTGCGACGATGGCCCTGTGAGATACACGTTAGCATCATGCGCCGTATGAACAACATGGGGGCTCCAGAGGGCATGCACGACCAGAGGTCAGGCTACAGAGGGTGCGTACCTGCTGAACATCATCCTCGTCATCCTCGTCATCTTCGTCGTCCTCATCGTCATCGCCGGCCCTGCCCCGTGGCTGATCGTCTTCATCATCCTCGTCCTCTTCAGCCTCGTCGTCATTCACAGCGCGACTTCCTGACTTGGCGGCAACCGGCGATGCCTCCTCTTCATCGTCGTGGGCAGGGCTGTGATCCCTTGCGTCGCTCCTCTGGTGATCAGCATCGCCGTTGGCATTCTCGTCATCAGAGACATCGGCGGGGGCCGGGTTGAAAGCTTCGTCATCGTCGGAGTCATCGAACTGATTATAGTTGGAAGCCATCTTTATTAGAAGGTGAGGCGATTGCCTCTGGCCAAAAGTACTGGGCTGCTTTCGATCAAGGTTCTGGCTGGACGGAAGGCGCGAGGGTTGGAAGAATTCAAGTCGACTGCGCGCGCGTCCGCTCTTTGTCTCGGGGTGGACGCGGTATTTGTACGTTGGCAGTTGGAGTCTGCGCCCAAAGATATCGGGGGGACGGAGAGTTGGGAGAGGATAAAGGCAGTCCAGTCGAGGTTCGCGACGTGACTTTTTGGTTGGTCGAAGTTGGTAGGAGAAAGGAACCCAGCTGGCCTTGAGTGCACGGACCGCCGGTCGAAGGTGTTCACCAAGGTACACCGAGTTGCTCACCGTACACCGGACCCCACCTCCTCATTCACTATCCCAACTACCGAGGGTAGAGACCAATAACCGCCGGTTCGTTTGCTGAGGAGCTGTTGTTTCTGTGAATGATGAGATCGGCGATATAATGTTATCTTACATACTTCGGCCATTCAGTCTTTCGTGTTTTCTCAATTCATTCAATTGGGCTCCTATCGACAGCCTATGACTGGTTCATCTCGGACCGTGTACGAAGTATCACTCTGCTTACAATGAAGGCAATTGTCATAGACGAGTTTGTCACAGTATGAAGTTGATCAGGAGAATGACACAGAAAAGAGGCTGACCACTCCAGAAACTTGAACAGATCCATACCACTGAGGTCCCAACGCCAACGCCAGCGCAAGATGGTTTCCTCATCGAGGTCGAAGCGGCAGGAGTGAACTTCGTGGACATCCTCTACGCCCAAGGAAAGCATCAGAACAACCGCTCACTCGTTCGTCCTCCTTTTACTCTCGGCCTGGAGCTCGCCGGGACCGTCCTCTCGGCGCCCTCGCGCTCCATCTTCAAGCCTGGCGACAAGGTCTTCGCCGGCCACACGGGAGCATACAGCGAGGTCATCGCCCTCCCCTCAACTGCTGTCGTGCGCCGGATCCCTTCTTCGTGGGACGTCTCCGGCGCGGCCGGGATAGCCGCCACCCTTCCCGTTGCCTACGGAGCCTTCGTGAGGGCTGGTTTACAGCCTGGGCAGACTGTCCTCGTTCATGCTGCGGCAGGTGGTCTGGGTACCATGGCCGTCCAAGTTGCCAAGGCCATGGGCTGTCGCGTCATCGGAACGGCGGGTTCCGCGGAGAAATGCGCCGTAGCGAGGAAATACGGTGCTGAGGCCTGCATCAACTACTCCGATGAAAAGGAATGGTGGAAGCGAGTGCTCGACCTGACTGGGGGCGATGGTGTCGACGTTGTTTTTGACCCCGTCGGCCTGCTCAACTTGTCTTTGAAATGCACGGCTCATTTCGGGAAGCTTCTCATAGTTGGATTTGCTGGCGGCGAGATTGAGAATGTCCCTGCGAATCGCCTGCTGTTGAAGCAGGCGTCTCTGATCGGATACGTAAGAACCCCCTCCTCTGGTCGCCCACGAGAGTGGAGTGCTGACACTGAAAGCGTTTCGGCGAAACTTTGCGGCGATCACCGGAGGAGGACGAGGTGCTATGGAGCGGTCTGCAATCCTTGATCGACTCGGGCGCCGTCGTCCCTGTCGTGTATGATACCCGTTATAGCGGACTCGACAGCGTCCCGCAGGCTCTCCAAGACATGATGGACAGGAAGGTGTGGGGGAAAGCCGTCATCACAGTGAAAGAAGTAGCCGAGGCCCGGCACGGAGCAAGACTGTAACGAATACACATTTGAATAGCTGAACTCCGTCACAGCTGAGCCTCAGTCATGTGCCAGCGCCTGCTGCATATGACGTCTCCCGCCAATCTAACTCGTCGTACTCACCCAACCTTTTATACTCATGACCGATCACTGTCCTCATCGTCATCTCATCATCCTAGCGAGAAACTGGCTTTTGAAGACATCAGTCCATGGATACTGAGCGCCTGCAAAAGCGAGAATCCCCAACAGACATACCAAATACACGTGGAGGCAATGCTGGACCCAAACGCCGGGCTTCGCCATGCAAGTTCCACACGCAGTGAGCCAAGGCCTTGCGAGCGTGGACACCACAGTTCCATCTCGTAGGAGTGTCGCTGCGCGTGGTTGTTGTCATGAATATCATGGCATCTTGACACCCCAAACCCCCCTTCCGGCAGTGACGCCCAGCCAGTCACCATATTCGCCATTCGCCATGTGGGGCACCCAGCCTAGGTTTCCAATCTCGTGGTCACATTGCCAGCTTGCCGATGGGTTGCGGTAGCTGTCGGGCTGGCCAGCTCCGTTCATGGCTCCAGTCGAGTTAAGAAGGTCCCAGATCAGGACCTGGCAGTCATCCGCTCCCGAGGCCAGCGTGCCTCTTCTCAAGGGCGACCACTCTACACAGTTGACAGAGCCGCCGTGACCGCGGAGCTCTAGCAAAGCCTGACCGGGCTGTCGGACGTCCAAAATGCGGATGATGTTTGAGTCTTGCGCAAAGGTCGCGAGAAGATGAGTATCATGGGGCGACGTAGCAAGCCTCATCAAGGGCGGAGGGTTCGTCATGGTCTGCTGGGCCAGAGTAGGACTGATTCTTCCACCATTGGCGTCTCGGAACAGTGTTAGCAATCTTGTCATCGGACAGGTGTGAAGCCAGAAACAACATACCTCGGTCGTCCTTGGACGTGGGCTCGTAAATGATGGTACTGTGCTCGAGGCTGCGAAGATCAAACATGCGTACGCTGCCGTCTTGACCGCAGCTAACAAACACGTCAACACTATTGGCGCAGAAGCGTACGTCGTAGACCTCCTTGTCGTGCGCAATCAACTGGGTCTTGGCCGTCAACGATGGAATATCCCAGATGGTGCAGGTCGTATCAATGCTGGAGGTGATGATCAAGCTCGGGGAGACGGTATTCCAGTCCAGAGATGTCAGGGGCGCAGTGTGGTCGGGGGTTTTTGAGTTGGAGAGGAGAGCGAGCGGTGTTAATTTGGTGGCGGTCGTTTCCCGCTTGTTGTTGATCGAGTTGCTCTGCTGCGTGGGCGCCGACTCGGAGGGCAGCGACCAGAGCCGGAGGTGGTCCCCTGACGTGGCAAGCAGGTCGGTAGACTGCTTCTGCGACGAAGGAGGCTCCCAGAGCAGTCGCGTGACGGGGTACGAATGTGTGGCCTCGGCGATCTTGGAGAACTCTAGGCTGTGCTTTGCGCCGCCCGATTGCTGGCCATCGGATGGACTGGGCACCACTTGGGTGTCAAGGATTTGGATCTGCCGAGTATGATGAGCTAGGGGTGAGCTTGCGTGTCTAGAGAAAGGGACGTACAAAGTTGTGGCCGTCCTCGAGGTAGCTGCCAACTGCCAGCTTGCCTGCGCTGTTCCCTTGAGGTGTCCACTTGCACCAATCAAAAGCATAGAGTGCCCATGGCGCAAGGTAGTTGCTGGCACCAGGCTGCGCGTTCGCCAGGTCGTAGCCAGAAGTGCCCGGAACGCCATCTGACATGCTCGAATCCGCACGGGGCCGGATGTCAGCCAGACCCAGGGGGGTGTTCGAAACGACCCTCTGGGACCCTGGTGCGTTGTATCTTCCATCGGAGGGAGACATGTACTGCGACGGCGTCGTGCCACCAGGCGTTGTCGGTGTGTAGGGCGAAAAGCTAGACGAGCCGTCGAAGCCCGCGGCAGGGGAAGAGCGAGAGTAGCTGTGCGACAAGCTGAGGGTCGGTGGTTTCGACGGCGCTGCGTACTCGGACTGCTGGGACTGCTGGCTGGGGCTCTGTAGCGTGGGGAGATTGGGCGCAGTGTTGGCGCTCATGGGCGAAGGTCGCGAGCCGCTTCCCATGCCGCCGGGTTGCAAGACGTTAGGCACAGACGATGAGCTGTGGTAGGAAGCAGTGCTGGGCGAGGCCTGGTCCAGCTTGATCTGGGGCCCCGAGGCGGAGGAGGGGTATTCGCGCGGCGAGGTGGGACCGGACTGAGCCATGCCTGCGGGGGGCATGTGCAATTCGTCGTGTTGCGAGCCGTACGTGCCAGTCCTTCGTGGAGGGCCGGGAGGATACTGCTGCTGTTGCTGCTGCTGATCCATGGCCGCGTCGCGAGCAGGGAGACGAGGGGCGAGGGCGAGTGCACACACACACACACACACACACACACACACTTCCTAGTATGGTCGCCGTATGATGATGGTTTAGGCCGACGATAAGGATCAGGGAGACTCGGTGGGTGATGGAGAACGGGCGTCGCTGGTGTCAGCGTCAGCGTCAGCGTGAACGTCAATGTCGGCGCGAGACTTCTTGCGTCCGTACCTAAGGAGAGGGAGAGGTTGGCGATCAAATGTTGTGATTCTGAGGGGTTGGGTGGGTGGCTGCGACAGCAGGACCTGGCGGCTGGTGCTGCGGTGGATTCTGACCAGGCTCAGGTTCAGGCTCAGGCTCTGGGCTCTGGGCTCTGGGGTCGGGTTTTGCTTTGGGATCAACTAACTCGCTGAGAAGGGGGAGCATTCAAGGCACTGGCCAGCTGTCACTAACCTGATTAGGTAATATCAAACCTCCAGAGAGTCCGTCGATGCTCTGAGCTTCAGGGGCCAACAGTGGGGACATTGGCACACATGGCCCCTGGAAAGAAAGCTTCGGGAGCCAGCTCTCATCCCTTGGATCAAAGTTATCATGCGCGCGAGTTCGTGACAAATACGACCCGATCACAAGTAGGAGCAACTGCACAAAGGAGGGATCATGTATTTTGCTGCCAAACGTACAAGTGGTCAGGTCTCTACGCCATTGTTGACCCTACCGAAAAAAAGACGAAGGGACCTCCGTATGAGAAGACCGCCAAGGTGCACCAGCTCCTCGCCAGAGCTGAGCTTCCTGGCACGCGAGCTTATGTAAGGTAAACAGAGCGCCCGTGGCCCAGGGAGCAACCAGCCGCCAATCCTGTGACGTCGCGAGCTTGGAAGCAAGCTCACACGCTCACTCTCACATGCTCCTCCCCCGTGAACCAACCACATCCTCCAACACGGGTCATTTTGGCCCTCCGTGATGCGAGCCAGGCAGCCAGCACCTCTGGAGACGAAAAAGACGGCTATCTACCTTCCGCTTCTAACCCTTCGTCTGTCGATTTGACCCCTCTTGTCCAGCGTCGGTCCAAACAGCCAACAATTGTTGCCGGCTCAGCATGGGTTGTCTACAGCTCTCCTGGCTTTAGAACAGATATCCACGAAATACCCAAGCCACCTTGAACTCTGCGAATCTTGCTGTAGAACCCCACATCGCTGCTTCCTTCGCCATGGCGCCTTCAAAATCCTCGTTTCTAGACCGGCTATCGTCGCCTCGTGGCAGCGCACCCTTGTTGCCATTCCATGAGAAACGACGTAGATCTGATGATTACGATCTGGACAACCTATCGCCAAGACAAGACGACTCGATCCTTTCTGAGGATCCCTACGCTGCCAAGGGAAGACTTTTCTTGCGGTCACCTTCTCCTGCAGACCCCGACCCATGGAACGAGAGGGCCAGTTCGACCGGCTCATCGTCTAAGCTCAAGCCCCATCATGCTTTCGATGGGCCACCACCTCCCATAGCAGCGTCGATCGTCATCCCGCAACGTTTGGCGCCCGCATCGCGCTCACGAGAACGGAGGCCCGGGAAGAGTGCTATGAAGAGTTCCGGCTCCAGCCGCCTAGGCCTTGGCAGTGTTCTCTTCGATGCCACGTCTCAAAGGCAGGCGGCCAACCCAGCAGACTCCACGTGGCGCGCCCTGCAGCGGCGAGAACAGGCCATCGGGAAAGAGCTGCAGGATCTCCTCGATATGCAAGCCATGGGTCTCGTGGCTGGGAGCGAGACCGCGACCTCGTCGAACGCCAGCGATGCGGACGCCTTCAGCGACACGGGCAGCAGCACGCCGACTGCAACGTTTTACTCGACCGTCACCTCGAGGTCGCGCATGACGGCGTCCCTCGACCACCCAACGCGCGCGACGCCGCGAGGGGACGTCATTCCCATCCGTCAGCCCAAGGCGTCGAAGCCCCCGGGTCTGCGTGCTGCCCGGAACGGCCTGCGAAGATCCATGACGGCGCTAGCCAATCTCAAGGCTGAAGAGGATGCTCATGTCGAGGCGGCTTTGTCCGATCGCAAGAAAGCGCTGGTGTATCTGCAGAGATTGACGAAGAAGCAAGAGGGCATCTCGCGGGAGCTGCACTCGCTCGCTGATGACGGCGAAGAGCCGTTGGCCAAGGAGCTGCGTACCCTAGGCGACCAGCATCAAGCGCTTGACCAGGAGATACGCGAGATGGAAGAGACGTTAGTGGGTATGCGGAATCGCCGTCGCTGGCTGGGACGAAAGATGGACGACGTCAAGAACAGACGTGAGGCTGGCTTGAGCGGCTACCGAGGCGCGATGAAAGAGGTAGAGGGCGAAGTTTCTTCATTGATGCGCCGCCCCCCTATCGAGCCCCTTGATCTCGAGGTACTGATGACCGATGCGAGCGAGAGAGGGGACGAAGGCATGACGGGCCTTCCCAGTGGCGAAGAGTTTCTTCAGCTCATTCCGGAAAGACGCACACCAGCACTAGCCATGGAGTGGTGGCAAGGGGAGATTAACATGTTGGAGGCCCGCAAGAACCAGATTGACAAGGACCGCGAGGCCCTCGAATCCGGGTTGGGCTTGTGGAATGACTGCGCGACCCTTGTTGCTGGCTTTGAGGCGAACTTACGAAAGGCTATGAAGGGCGAACCGACGGGTAAGGGTAAAGAGAAGGCTGCCTCGCCAGAGGAGGCCCTTCGCCAACATATTGCCGGGATGGCAGGGGTCATTGAACAACTCCAGGAGTATGTGGGCATTGCGGAAACCAACAATTGGAATTTGCTCATATGCGCCGTCGGTGCCGAGCTGGAGGCCTTTGAAGAAGCCGAGAGGATGCTCCGGAATACTCTCGAGTCATCAGACGAGCCTACCCCAGCACCGGACAAGTTGCTCGTTGAGGACAACACGGAAGAGCAAGGACCAGCGCACGGAGAAGCAGAAAGCAACGATAGATCGAAACACGAGGCCGATGAGAGTGACAACGACGTCCCGTTGGACTTGTTGGTCACGGGACGTGAGGAGCAAAACCATCAAGAGGGGAAGCGCACGAGCGGGAAGGATCATCACCATGAAGAAGATGAAAGTGACAGTGGTGTTCCGCCTCCTGAATTTTTGGCAGAGCACGACCCTGAGGACGGAGATTTTCATACTACAAGCAGATGAGCGCAGAAGTTCGAGGTGTCTAGGTTTGCCCGATTCAAGATGGCTGCTGTGCTTAGGAATAATTCCAGAGCAGTATCGACATTATTATTGCCACAACCCAGGTCTAATTGTCTTAACACGTGCACCTGCAAAGCGAATGGTAGGCTTCAGTATCAAAGGTACTGCCTATGGGTAACCTCGGCTATGTGCCGTGGGTTTCGCCGTCTCGCCTATAACAAACCCGAGAGAGTGGAGCACGGGAAGGGGAAATCGTGAGGCATTAGGGTCCGGGATGGGGTTCCGATGTGTCGGGCCTGGAACAGCCCGGGATGCATTTTGCTTATATTCTCGCTCTTGCAGAAGTATTTGCCTTGATATTGCCCTGTTTTCTAAATGATGCACAACTCCATTCATAACGCCAACACCAGAAGGGACCGAAGCAGAGAGCTACGAGCATTGCCGGCCTCGGACAACATGGCCAGCTTCAACAGACTCGCGCCAGATATCGGAGGGGGGATCTGAAGGGCCAACAAATCCAGAGATGAACGATCAACTATCCCAAGAACCCGTGTCATTTCCTCCAAGGGTTGAAGCCGGCTGGCTCGCCGTTGTGTGACCGAGCCAAAAGCTACCATGCCATTACCGAGACCTCTCGAACCAGCCGCTGGACCCAGCAATAGCGACCGACTGATCCATGACCCATTCACCGACGCCGAGGTACTTGTCGATCCATTTTGAAACGTCCTTGTTTTCGCCAGCAGCTCTGTCGGTCTTGAAACTAGGCCTAGGAGTTCCCAAAGGGGCATGCGTCAGCCAAACAGCCGGGTTTCCAGCGATCATGTCGACCGCTCCTTGCAAAAATCGGACTTGATGGCATTCGGATACTCACGTCAAGCCAGTGGAGCGCTTCATGCCGGCGAGGACCGTGGAAACTGCGAGGCGGAACGGTCAGCAACTAGTTCGACACAACCGCGGCAAGTAGAGCGACGCACTGAGCACGGCATCGACGGCGTAGTGTGTCAGACGCCCGAGCTTTGACCATAGTCCCAGTGTCAGCAGGTTGAGGAGCTATTGCGCAGGTTTAGATGCTGCTGGCAGGCGAGCACCGAGCTCGTTGGCGGGCGGTACATACAACCATTGTGTAAGTCTGTCGTGCCTCGTTTGGTTGGTGGTGGTGGTGGTGTCCTGATAGTTCGGAGCGCAGGCCTCGACGATGTCTCTGGCGTCTTCAGCTGTGAAGGTTACTCTCTCTGTTTTCGTGATGCTAACAAATGGCAGGTATTGGTATCAGGCGACGAGATGGTGGTGATGCAGATGCAGGGACCGATCAACAGCGCACGAGACACCACGACAACCAATGGGTCCACCAGCTCCCTCCAGGCTTCTCGACGGCCCGCCTGCCAAGATCAGAGGACCCCGCCGAAGCAGCGGTCAGGTCACGTGTTGCTCGCCGATAAGCCATGGCCCGAGCTCCTTCGCAGCGGAGCCTGGCGATCCTATCACAAGAGAGTGATTCGCCAGGCGATCCATCAGTCAGGGCCTTTGGCGCTTGCCGTTGTCGGGGAAGGCGGCGGGACGCTGCCTGTGCCTGAGACGGCCCTTTTGGTTTGTTGAGGGGACCTGATGCTGACAGACCGACATGTCTGTTTGGTCGGTTGGCCAGGCTCGAGCTCATTGAGGTGAGGCTTTAACAGCGAACGGAGCTCCGTGGGTAGGAAGGCCAGAAGCAACGAGAGCACTCACGAAATCCCTCATCCGAGCCCCGGCCATCTCCCAAGATCTGAAGCTGGAGCCTGACACCACTATCGAAGCATCGGAAAGGAAAGTCTATTGAGGGTCTGAGTCCAAGGACGAGGATCTCAGAATACCTACGGCGTTTCTGCATCCTGGAAGTGATCATCACTATTTTTTATTTTTCGCAGAGGTATCGGACCAGTCCCACCGCTCAAATCGTCGCACTGTCTGAGGTAACAGGCGCTGGGATGGCTGCACTCAGTCAGGTCGCCCGCCAGGGTTCTTTTCAGTGGAGCTGACACTGAGTGGGGGCAGCTTCGCGTCTCAGTGGGGTACCAAAATAGCTGTAAGGACAGTGCGTGGGCTGCTCAGGCGCGGGGCTCGGCCGTGGTCGCAGTAGCAGCAACAAGGCAAAACACCAATTGAGGAGGGGCAACTGCACCACCGACGCAGCTTCCCTCTCCATTGGGTGCTTTTTTTTCTGGCTGGTCTGCTTCCATATCGCCCAAAAAGCCTCCCTGGCTTGTCTTTCTCCGACCCCTTCATCTCTCCTACAAAATCCCATCTTACCTTATTTCCCTCATCTTTCTAACCATCTTCTCGTTCGACTGGTATTTAACTCGTCCACGAGCTTCGCACCTGGAACCCCTTTGGTCTTTTTACCCCTCCTCTCCTCATCGAACGGCCGTGCCGCTCTGGAAAAGAAACAGACACCCTCCACCGCCCACCTCAACAGCAGCACCACACTCACAATGGCTGCCACCGCAAAGGACCATCTCGATGTCGGCGGCAAGATTGCCTGGTTGGCCAACCTCGACACGGCGTTCACCCCCGAGAAGAACTACCGTCGCTCTTCCATCATCTGCACCATTGGCCCCAAGACCAACTCTGTTGAGGCCATCAACAAGCTCCGCAAGGCTGGTCTCAACGTTGTCCGCATGAACTTCTCTGTAGGTGCCGGGATGCACTGCCCTCAAGAAACGAGCGGTTCAGCTAACAACTCCATCTTAGCACGGCAGCTACGAGTACCACCAGTCTGTCATTGACAATGCCCGCGCCGCCGAGAAGGCCCAGCCCGGCCGTCAGGTCGCCATCGCCCTCGACACCAAGGGCCCCGAGATCCGTACCGGTAACACCAAGAACGACGAGGATATCCCCCTTGCCGCCGGTACCATCCTCAACATCACCACAGATGAGCAGTACGCCACTGCGTGCGACACCAAGAACATGTACGTCCTTATCCTCGCCTTCGCTGCCAGAACAGCTTCTGACCCTCACTCCCAGGTATGTCGACTACAAGAACATCACCAAGGTCATCGAGCCTGGCCGTATCATCTATGTTGATGACGGTGTCCTTGCCTTCGACGTTCTCTCCATCAAGGACGACAAGACTGTCGAGGTCAAGGCCCGCAACAACGGCTTCATCTCTTCCAAGAAGGGCGTCAACCTGCCCAACACTGATGTCGATCTCCCCGCTCTGTCCGAGAAGGACAAGAACGACCTGAAGTTCGGCGTCAAGAACAACGTCGACATGGTCTTTGCCTCCTTCATCCGCCGCGGCCAGGACATCAAGGACATTCGCGACATTCTTGGCGAGGAGGGCAAGCACATTCAGATCATTGCCAAGATCGAGAACCGCCAGGGTCTCAACAACTTCCCCGAGATTCTCGCCGAGACCGACGGTGTCATGGTTGCCCGTGGCGATCTCGGCATTGAGATTCCCGCCGCTGAGGTCTTCGCTGCCCAGAAGAAGCTGATTGCCATGTGCAACCAGGCCGGCAAGCCCGTCATCTGCGCCACCCAGATGCTCGAGTCTATGATCAAGAACCCCCGCCCCACTCGTGCTGAAATCAGCGACGTCGGCAACGCCGTGACCGATGGCGCCGACTGTGTTATGCTGTCTGGCGAGACCGCCAAGGGTGCCTACCCCAACGAGGCTGTCAGCGAGATGCACGAGGCCTGTCTCAAGGCGGAGAACACGATTCCCTACGTTTCGCACTTTGAAGAGATTTGCACTCTGGTTCGTCGTCCCGTCAGCGTTGTCGAGTCCTGCGCCATGGCCGCCGTCCGCGCCTCTCTCGACCTCAACGCCGGTGCCATCATCGTCCTCTCCACCTCGGGTGACTCTGCGCGCCTCATCTCCAAGTACCGTCCCGTGTGCCCCATTCTCATGGTCACCAGGAACGCCTCTTCCTCCCGCTACAGCCACTTGTACCGTGGTGTCTACCCCTTCCTGTTCCCCGAGTCCAAGCCCGACTTCAACAAGGTCAACTGGCAGGAGGATGTCGACCGCCGTATCAAGTGGGGCATCAACCACGCCATCGACCTCAACGTCCTCGGCAAGGACGAGACCGTCGTTGTCGTTCAGGGCTGGAAGGGTGGTCAGGGCAACACCAACACCCTGCGCATTGTCAAGGCTGACCCCGAGCACCTTGGCCTCGGCGAGTTGTAAGTGGCGAGAGAAATGCTGGTCATGGCTGGGGGTAATAGGAGTGAATAATGAAGCTTTGAGGATATCCCTTCATCGGTAGACTTCGGAGATTGCCGCCCTGCTTTTCAGGCTCACCTTCAATAACGAATTACTGTTTATTCTTGTTACATTATGCATCTGATGAGAACTCTGCTTTTGCTGATCTTGTGGTGCTGAATACGTCGCTCTCATGCATGATCCACTTGGCATGATGCTACCTGGCGCGCGCGATTACCCCTTGTGAGGTATCGATATATTACTAGGCGGCATGTTATCGTTACGCCGCGATCAAATGTGTACGAATCAATGAAGTATAGGGCAGCCAAGCTTAGTCCAAATCTGCGGCCATGCCCAGCGCATGACTGGGGTCATTGCACTCTTACATGAATGCGTCAGCGACAAGGATCGGTCAAAATTGTCTGTCAAAGGAGACAGATGGCTTGCGTTTCGCGGACTGATTGATTGCCCATGTCGATTAACCTCAAGTATCAATAGCTCAATCGATCTGTAGCTGACGGCCAGCGATATTTGGTCAAGCAGAGGAAGAGGGGACTTCCACAGCTTGAACAACACCAATTCTGCCTTACATGATTTGTGTAAGCCTCTGGCTTGGATCTCGCCAGTGGCCAGAGTTGACTCGCAGTGTGACCAGCCGTCTGCGTGGGATGGTGGGAATATAATGAGAATGACCCTTGGCGCGCGGGGCGTCCAGGCTGATAAATACTCCGAAGCAAGACTCGAAAACGAGCCAAGACCCCTTACAACGGAGGCGTTGAGGTCCATGCTCTCGATACGGAAGGAGAAGCCTTGATTCTGGTAGACACTTTGGCATTATCGGACCTGGACCCTGGCTTACCCCAGATTTCTTGCAGACAGGCATCACGAGATAGAGTCGCATCGGGAGATGATCATCAGGACATTTATGACACTGCAGAACGGTACTTGGGATTTGACGTGCGGTGGTCAGCATTTGAGCGACTTTACCCGGACTGGGGGATGGGGGTGGCCCTGGTTCGCGGGATTCGAGATGTAACCAAGACTTCCCAATACGGAGAACGGAGGGTAGCAATCAAGGCCATGAGAGACTCTGGAATCCAGCTGTAAATAAGATGGATTTGCCTCCGATAGAAGAGGCGGATCGAACCAAACTTTGTAAATTAAATCATCCACTATCAACATCCTCATCTTTTCAATACGAGTCTCAAGCACTGTTATCATGAAGGCTACCACAGCTCTCTTGTCCCTGGCACACCTCGCTTCGGCGCACTGTATGCAGCCATGGACCAGAACCCCTGAAGACCTTCTGACTTTATTATAGACACTTTCCGGACGGTCGAGTTCGATGGGCAGCCTACCTCGGAGTGGGGGATCATCCGCAAGACAGCCAACTTCGAGACGGCAGGGCCTATCGAAGATGTCACCAGCGAGCAGTTGACATGTTACGAGCTGAACCCCGGCAGCCACGGTGCTGGAGTTCTGAATGTACAAGCCGGTGCTGCTGTCTGTAAGTTAAGCACATACGTAACGTGAAAGAACCAGTCCACCCTAACATCACCCAGCCTTCACGTCCTCTCCCGCGATCTTCCACCCAGGCCCGTCCCTGGCTTACCTGGCAAAAGTTCCTGCCGGTACATCTGTGTCAGACTGGGACGGCAAGGGCGCAGTATGGTTCAAGATTTGGCAAGACGAGGCCATCATCACTTCGTCAGGCATTAGCTGGCCCAGCCTCCGTATTTCCTTCCCCTCGTACCCCTCGGTTCCCAGACTCTCTGTTTACTGAACAATGTGTAGAATCACCTACGATCGACTTTGACCTCCCCGAGTGCCTCGACAACGGCGAATACCTCCTCCGAGTGGAACACATTGGGCTTCACACGACCCTGGAGCCGCAGTTCTACCTCAGTTGTGCCCAGATCAACGTGTCTGGCGGATCAGGATCATACTCGCCGGCTGGGCTGCTGAGCTTCCCTGGAGCCTATAGCATGAACGACTCTGGGCTCAAGGCGAATCTTTACTGGCCGATTCCGACGGAGTACATGTAAGTTCTGCGTAGTGGATCATTGTGTCTATGCGTGCTGACTTGTTTGGGTGAAGTGCCCCTGGCGGTCCTGTTGGGTCGTGTTAAGAAGACGAAGGCTGTTGCACCTCGTCTGCCGACTGATCGTACTGTAAGAAAGGTTGACACATATAGTTGTGCGATCATCAGAAGTATGAGTGAGGCAAATGCAATGATGCGGCTAGTCTGATCGTCTAGTATAGCTACAGTAGCAATACACTACGTCTGGGCCAGAGCCTGCAGACTACTCGTACAATTCCAAGAAGTGAGCAACAACTCAGCACCTGGCATGCTCAGCCGTCATCACTGATGATAGCCAATGCTGTCGTGGACCCTAACCGTAGTTGGCACGATCATGTCAGTGGCCACCTACCCTCTCAGAAGACTCTCAGAAGACCTCCTTCTCCATACCTTCCAAAGTCTCGCCGGCACGTCTACGAGCTCTCAAGTCTAACCGGGAAGCCATCTTCGAAACCTTCTGCCTGAGCTCCGGCATGGAGGGGCGATACTTCAACTCTGCCGCCTTCTTGACCGGCGACATGACGGGCACCGACGCTTTGGACCGCACCCTGCGGACTTTTTCAGTCTTCTCCCCGTAGACCTGAGTGCTGTCATCAAGAAAGTTCGGAAGCTCGGGGCTTGGCGGCGCTCCTTTGGACCATTCAGGCCTCACCCTCTGGGCGTCGACATGCTCCAGCACCTGGTTCCTCTGCCGCAGCCCCTCGCGCGACGCCATGGCCCTCAGTCCCGTCCGCGACGACCTCCGCCTCAGCCGCGACACGAGACCCTGGACTCTGCGCTCGAGCGTCTCAATGTCGGCTGCCACGGAGGCTTTTCGCTCGCGCACCTTGGAAGCGAGCACGCCGAAGCGCGCTGCGCGGCGCACCGAGGCGGTGGAACGGGAGTCGTGGCTCGTCGTCGGCGTGTCGAGGAAGGTGACGCCGCGGGACGTGACGTGCGGGGCCGGAAGCATGATGGGGCCCGGCGGGACGCGCGGCGGCGGGGGCATGTCGGCGTCGTGGTCGTCGTGGTGGACGCGCCCGGCTGCGATGTCCTGGCGGGACGACTGGCCGGGGAGGCGGGGCCAGAGCGGGGAGGGGGTGACGCGGTAGGCGTGGTGCTTGAGGAGGTCGGGGGTCGTGGCGGTCGGGGGCTGCGGGAAGATGTTGTGGACGAGGGTGTGGGTGAAGGTGTTGCTGAAGCCGCAGATGCGGATCGAGTCGACGAGGCCTGCGAGATCGAGGAGGGGGTTGCAGACGGAGAAGGCGGTGTCGGGACAATAGGGGATGCGGACTAGGATTTGTTTAGATCAGACCTGAGGGAGATGATGGACGTTTACTCACAGCAGGGATCGAGCCCAGTGATGTGATCAATGACCGTGGGTCGGCAACCATAGAACCGGCGGCAAAGCAGCACAAAGCTGGACATTGTCGACTCATCCTGGCGCCTCAACTGGACGTCGACAAACATCTGGATGAGGGTATCGAGGTTCATGTTACCCGCGCGCAGCTTGTAGGCTTGGCGGTCAGGACCAAAGCCGAGACGGGTCATGTCGATCTCAAGAATAATATGACGCATAAAACGGCCGTATCTTCGATACCAGTGAGTGGCCAGCGGATTGAAGTAAGTATTAACAAAGGGTGAAAAGGTAATATGGAAACGCTCAGTCATGAGGACAGTTAGCATCATGTCGGCGAAGAAGAGAAAGGAGACACGTAGATACGGGCCCAGCGCTTGAAGCATGCTCGACAGGGAGCTGAAGTCCTCGGCCTGCTAGGCGTCGGCACATGCTGTTCTGTGGGAGAGGCAGATGGGAGTTGGGTCATCCTTTGCGTGGCTGGCGATGAGGTGCCGACAAATTCGGTAGCGAATAGTATCGGGAAGTCCGAGATAGCTAAGGCGAGGGTGATACCACGGCTGACGTTCATGCTGGCCGAGAAAGGCGCAGAGGCAGGCTGAAAAGAGATCCTCGGTGCTTGCAGGTCTTGCTTCGCGACGGTGCTTGTGATATACGATATCAACAACGCGATCCCATGGGGGAAGGTTGTCTCGGGGCTCGCTCGAGGAGTCTGCTCGACCAAGAGCGGGGCTCTCTATGAGAGTCTGAACAATCTTGGGGGCTAGAGATCCCGGAAAGGGGTGCGGGAGAGGCGTAGAAATAGCAATTTGCGCGATCGAAAGCTTCTTCTGTAATCGCGGTCGAGGGGGTGAAATTGAAGACGTCACCTGCTCACAGACTGTAGCTGAGTGAGGTCTTGAAAGCACGGGCCTGTCCCAAGATAGCGGGTGTTTCTCCGACATGCTCGATAGGGATCTTTCGGCCATCTTGACTGCGTGCCTGGTTCGAGCAAAAGGCTTCTTTCAGGCTTCAGAGCTTGGGGCTAGCTTGCCGTCTGTGAGCGCTGTGTGGTACAATGGCTGATGTTGAGGAAGACTTGCAGAGATGGGATAACGGCCACAGGATGGCAAAGTCTAAACAAACGCGAATACAATCAACAAGGAAGGCGCGTTATCGATGCGTCAGGGCGCAGTGAATGAGTGAAGTCCAGTATTCGCGCGAAGACGGTTATGACAACGAGCCCCTGACCTCAGGCAATCGGGGGATTCACAATGAGAAGCGCCGCGCCGTCCAGTTGCACTGGGCAGAGCTCGAGCCACTTCGAAGATAAAAATAAAGAATGAGAGAGAGAAAACTTGGCCTGCTCAGATCTGTACACTATACTAAGGTATCTCGGATCTTCGTGCTTCTGATGAGGGTCTGAGGCCGGGTATGTGGGGCCGTGCTGTGGCCATGATAGCAGGCTTGCTGCCCCGAGCAGTGGATCCCGAGCCGGAGGAAGAGAGCCTGTCGCGGCTGAGTTGACCCTGCCTTACCTGACAGAAGGTACCTCTGTACTTGTCTCGATAACACCCGATTATGGAAAATTGCCATCTATTTCCACGAACCCAATCTTGAATATCCCATCATCTCGGCAACTGGAACAGATTTGGCCAAAATGTGTGTCTCGCACCATTCAGCTTCGTCGAGGGTCGACATTGCCGTCGAGGGCACGAGGACGAAAGCACTTCCATAAAAGGTTTCCCTTTTCTGATCAATTCGTCTCCTCTTACGATCCTGAGCTCAGGAAGTAGTAGGTGTAAGGTCGGAAACATGGAATCTTTGAGTGCACGAGGCTGACAAACACATACCTTCTTAGTCTTGCAAAAAACATCGACGAAGACGTGAACAAGACAGAAAAACGAAAGATTCCCAAGAGGGCCAAGATGCGACAAACTGCACTTCTTTCTCCCTGAGACCAACCAAACTCCGATGCTCTTCTGCTCTGGTCTACTCCTTTACAGCCGAAAGGTCACGCATGTACTATGTGCCAAACAAACGCCGTTTCGTAGCTCGTCGCCACTGTCGCACCGGCGGAGATCACCACCTCGTATCGCGCAGCGGTGACTGATCTGTTGCGAGAGGATACAATGCCACCAGGTCATCATGCCCTGCCAACAGCAACGATGGACGGGTCGCTGAACCAGTAGTCGCTTTGATCCGAATCTCGGACCATTCCCTACGCACCGCCGGCTGTTCGGCACCATGGCCAGGCCTCGACCCCTCACTCCCATCCACAAAATGGCTGCCCTGTTTCTGGCGGACCTTTAACCTTAACCCCGCTGCCAAAACCTGGGGTTGGAGTCGCGTCCTGTGAACTGCTTGCGCTTCGCCTTGGAGACGAAAGTTCACTCGAGTCTCGCTTGTCAATCGGATCAGTTCGCTTCGGCTTATTGAATGGTAGCCATGGTGGGTCGGTTTGAAGAGGCTCAACCGCGGAAAGCGAACGACATCTTCGAGCCCGGAAGCGGGCCCCTTGTCGTGTACGCCCTTCGTTGGGGTCATCCCCCAAGATGAACAGCGCCTTTCACCTGCAGTGCAGCCTGCAGGGCTTGTTCGCAAGCGAAAGGGGGACAGAATTGGGGCCAAGGTGGCCTGGGACGGGAAGTCGGCGCATACGCACACCGATGCCAACCATCTTTCGTCCCTTTACACCCTGGTTTATCTGCCCCTGGCCTGCTCAGCGACCTATCAACATCCCCTCATGTGTCACTCGCGTGGTGTCGGTCATTTTAGTCCATCGGCCGAGTGGCCGATCCTTCGGGAGTGTCCCGTTACGATGCTGGCTGAAAGTTCCATTAAATGGACTGACGGCACGCCACCACCGAACACAAAAAAAACGTGTGGAGGAAATGATCCAGAACATTTGCTTCACTGCTTTATTCCCCACGTCGCTTTTTGTCTATTCTGCCCCTGGCGCATGGTTTGAACGACATCTTTCCTCAAGCATTGCGACGAACGTTTCCATTGATTGCATTCAGTTCATCTTACACTGACTGACTGGCATTTTGACGAACTACTTCACCTCTCTATATTTTCCCGTCCAAATTGGCCTCCGTCGTCTGCTTAGCATACCCCCACGCAACGCCTGCCGAGGCTCGTTGAAACCAGCGAACATCCACTTATGCGACACTCCTGTCCATAGAACTGCAGGACCACAGATCTGCCTGTGAGTTGCATGTCTCTGGTTGCATGCCTCTTTGCTTTAGACTCCAGGCTCACAGGCCAGAGTGGCAGTGGTGCACCTGTGATTTATGCTAAACCAATCCAGATACCTTGCCGGAGTCCCTGGAACCCCTGGAACCCCTGCTCATGGCGTCCGGTGCCCCCTCAAGCACGATGCCACCACCGGAATACGCCCGGCAGCCAGTCTCTGGTCCTGAGCTGTCTGGTGACGACAGGACGCTGCCAGGCTCGAATGATACAGATGACAGGCCTCATACAGCAGACCGCAAATCAATTGAAAACCAGGAGACAACGCAGAGGGAGGCTTACGAGAATGACACAACCCTGGCTCTCGTGCCCAGTTACAGTCGCAGCCACGTCGCAGAAGATCCGGAAAAGGGCCCTAACAAAGTTGAGGATGTCGAAGAGACAGATCCAAATGTTGTCTTCTGGGATGGCGACGATGACCCTGAGAATCCATACAATTGGCCTACATGGCGCAAGATTGTCAATTGTGCTCTCATCAGCTTGTTGACCTTCATCACACCCCTAGCTTCCTGTGGGTTCTCATGTCGCGCCCTCTGTGTCTTTGAAGCTCATCATGATGTGTAGCAATTTTCGCCCCTGGCGTGCCAGACCTGATGCGCGAGTTCGGCAGCAGCAGTCCATTACTGGCGTCTTTCGTCGTTTCCGGTATGTCGCTCGTTGTCTCGCGTTTCACAGCTTGCTGTACTGACAGCTGCCAGTCTACGTTCTCGGTTTCGCCGCGGGTCCCTTGCTGTGTGCGCCGCTGAGCGAAATCTATGGCCGCACTATAGTCTATCATGTTTTTAATGTGGGATTCTTCTGCTTCAACATTGGCTGCGCCTTGGCTCCATCGCTGAGCTCGCTCATTGTCTTCCGCTTCTTCGCCGGCCTCTTCGGCGCTGCTCCGATGACCAACGGTGGCGGTACCATCGCCGACATGATCCGTCAGGAGAAGCGCGGCGCTGCCATGGCTTCATTTGCCATTGGGCCTCTCCTCGGGCCGATCCTCGGCCCTGTCGCCGGCGGATATATGTCCCAGGACATCGGCTGGCGCTGGGCCTTTTGGCTCGTGGCGATTCTCAGTGGCGTCATCAGCATTGTCATGGTGTTGTTTCTCCGAGAAACATATGCCATCATACTCCTCCAGCGCAAGGTCGATAAAATGCGTAAGGAAACGGGCAACCAGGCATTGCGGTCCAAGCTCGATAGTGGACTGTCGCCCACCGACTACTTCAAACGAGGCATCTACCGGCCTCTGAAGCTGCTGACCATCTCGCCCATCTCCATCGTCTGGTACGTTTCACACACAGCCTTCCTATCATGCAACCGCTGACGGTCCAGTGCTCTGTATACCGCCATTGGTTACGGCTATCTATACATCCTCTTCACCTCCTTCACCACAGTCTTCATGAAGTACTATGGCTTCACTGCCGGAACCTCAGGCCTCTCTTTCCTCGGCATGGGCGTTGGCTCCATGTTCGGTCTTGTCTTCTTCTCCGTCTACTCCGACCGCTATCTCAAATCCAGGGCGGCCCGCGCCGATGCCGCCGCCGATGCCGCCAACCGTCCCCGTGAGGGCATGAAGCCGGAGTATCGCCTCGTCACCCTCCCCTGGGGCGCCATTCTCCTGACCATCGGCCTCTTCTGGTACGGCTGGTCCGCCGACGAGGGCCGCACGCACTGGATCGTGCCCATCCTCGGCACCGCCGTCGCCGGCTTCGGCAACCTCCTCATCTTCATGTCGCTGCAGCTCTACCTCGTCGACGCCTTCTCCGTGTACGCCGCCAGCGCGCTCGCGGCCAACACGGTGGCTAGGTCGCTGGCCGGTGCGTTTCTGCCGCTGGCAGGACTGCCGATGTACGAGGCGCTCGGGATCGGGTGGGGGAACACCGTCTTGGGCATCATCTCGGCGGTCATGATCCCGGTGGCATATGCCATTATCAGGTATGGGCAGCACTTGAGGCAGCGATTCGAGGTGAAGAATCTGTGAGGGAAAGCTTGAGCAGGAGAGACTGACTCATGGGCATGTACGTATAAATGGTGCAATAGAACGTCTACATGTTGGCACGATGATGAGCGGCAGGTGCCGTTGATGTTGAGCCGAAGGTTCGCACCTGCACATTTCTTTCTGCAACCAAGCAGTGGTTCTCTCCCCCGTCGATGGTATCCTTCGGTCCGACCTTACCTGCCTTCCAGCTTGTCGTCCAGATGGCTTCTTGCAGTTTGGTGAATGTCCGGTCATGGGTCTGCACCTGGTCACCGCTCTCGGGGGCAGGCGCATCTTGTCTGCAGATGCAATGAAAGCTAAAGATGGCCAGGTACCTCCTCTTGATCTGGGAAGGATAGAAGCTGGCTGCTTCTGCTATTCAGTCAGGAACATCCAGCGAATGCTGGCTCTATAAATGTACCATATTTCTTCTGTCAGGGAGCCGTCTCTTGTTTCTTCTTCTCTTCTCTTCTCTTCAACGCGAGTTCATCAATATGGAGTAAGTACCATTCCATCCATTCCAGCTTCATCTGAAAACGAATACTAATCAGAAACATCCATCTAGATCGTTTAACTTTATCACCATCTCGCTCGACCCTGGCTTCCTTGCCGCGCCGGCTGGCCCCCGAGCAGAGCCGCCCCCCCTCCTCCCCTCCTCCTCCGACGCCCAACTGCCTCCGCGGGCCTCTGAAGCCCAGGCCCAAAGGTATACTTTTCCCCAGCTCCCAGCTTCCTCCGTACAGTCGGCTTCATCCGAGATTGGCATCAATAGCTAACATAATTTTCTGTTTAGTGGTTCTGGGGCCAACGACATCGAAAGAGGCAGGGGCCCGCCCGACGATGGGCGTCGGACGACAGAGGGCAAGGACTCGGGGGGGGCGGTGACCCTCGGGGCACACTTCGGCTGCTAGGGGCAGTTCGTTGTGGTCGCCGCCGGTTTGGTGATGGTGTTGTGGGCTGCGGCTCGGATTGTTCAGGCCAAGCATTCTTAAGCGTGTTTTTATCTTTAAAAGCGTTTCATCATTATCCACAATTACAGTCGTTTTGTTTTGCTTTCGCATTTTATCGTTCATCCGAACATGAAGTAAAGCAGTTTCATCAGCCACTTCCCAGGAGATGAATCCGTGATGTCCAAGGAAGACCAAGAGACGACCAAACTAGAGGCACATTCATCGTGGCACTTTGCGAACAAAAGGTGCTCCCTCGTAATATATCGAAGCAGCATGCGTACGTTCGGCATAGAGGGAGTTCTAACACTGCCGCTGCTTCTATTGTCATTGCGAGCTAATTTGGCCTATTTTCCTCCTTTATTGACGCTGACACTTCTGGCTTAGGCCATGGCCACCAGCCTGCGAGCGGCAGGTCATCGTAGATACAGTTGTAGCTTGTCTCGGGTTCATCCCAGCGATAGCTGTAGACGAAGCGGGATCGTGAGTCAAAAGCCTGGGCTGACCAGATGTTCTCAGGTTGGACATCCGGCAATCTGAACGGTGCAACATCGGCGAGCTCCTTCCCCCAGATTGCGAGATCACCCGCCCACGAGACATCATTTTCCTTGCAGGCTCCACCAACGCATCGAGACGATAGACTGAACATGCGTACACAGAACATGTTTTCGTGGCTAGGGAATGCCTCGACAACCCGTTCTGGGAAATTGTTGTACGTCGCCGACATGTAACTTCCACCCCTGTCCACATTGGCGCTGCTCCAGTGGAAGCCTTCTCTCATAAGCCGAGGAAGGTCCGGCGTCTCGATTTGCAGGAAGGCGACCCAAGTTGGCTGGCCCGGACGTGTTTGGTGCTTGGGGACGAGCTGATTGGCTGGATGAATTCTCATCCGCAATGTGCCGGGTCGTGCTGCATCGAGGGCTGAATTCAGGGGAAGGTAACGGCGAATTGCCCAAGATGATGAGCTTTGTTTGGAGTCTGAAGCTTCGTCGGCTGTGGGAAGATGAGCTTCGTAGGGGGGAGGGCCAGTGGCTTCGAGCTGACGTTTTGCAAGCCGGATTGGTGCGAGTTCTCTCAAGAAATCCATCGTCGAGTTATATAGTGTCTGATGATCTGAAGGTCGGGCTGGCAGTTGACGGCAAAGGAGGCTGTCACTCGTGTTGCTCAACACGGGGTGGGAACAGGGTTATGAGCGACTTCAGCAGGTCTGGGTCCGATCTTATATTTATACGTTACGACGCGAAACAAACATTGGGAAGCTTTGATGGGCTTAACCTCTTTTCCTTTCTCCGTTGGCAAACTTTACGAGAAGATGACATCCACAACCTTGGGGATTGAGTTTTGGAACGCACGACAGGTCGGCCATTTGCAATCGCACTTCGTGTGCGCTGCAGGACGAGTAGCAGCACCAATATTGGAAATCTATTAGGAACTTTATTGAAAAGGTTTTTGACCACTCGGGAAGCAGAAGGCCTCAAGATGGAGACGCACGGTGCTTGTATCGCGACTTCAATGTTGTGGTGTTCTGGTGGTTTGTGGTTTGCAGTTCACATGTCGTCATCACAGTGATATTATCTCAAAATACTGTGCATAATAACTGTGCTGCCCCGCGCTACACCGAAGCTCGGTGAAGGCTCTCGACGGTGCCAGAACCCCACACCCCACCTTCGACCTACACTTGGTCATGTCAAAGATTTGCGCAAACCTCAACACCACAGCCGATCTGTTTACGCACATCAACTACAACCCTACACAGCAGTATTGCGACCTTGCAAGAAAAAGAAGAACACCCGCAAAATTATCTGACGGACATTGCCCATCATGGATATCGACGACGTTCAGCTCACACCCCAGAACGTTCCGTCCAACTTCAATGCTGCGGAGGCTGACAACCTCGAGGATGTGAGCGCGCCTGCCTCCATTTTACTCACGAAAATGGCAAATGCTAACCAAAGATGCGCCCTCCCAATAGATCGAGAAGCAGTTTGCCGTCAAGGCCGTTCAGCACATGGAGACCTACTGGTCCATCCTCGAGAAGGTCAAGGGCTCCACCCTGCGCCTGACCAAGTTCGACGACGAGATCTACGAGCACCTCCTGAAGGACTTTCCCGACTTCGACCCCGCCGAGACGATCGACGAAGACAAGATGAAGAGCAAGCAGGGCAAGGAGAGGTGGCGCAACTTCATGATGGCCTACGACAAGCGCGTCGATGACTACAACTTTGGCACCATGATGCGGACGGGGCCCAAGTTCGAGTACGGCCAGAACGAGGTCATCTTTGTGCCGCGCATGCAGTTCTACGCCGTTGAGATTGCGCGAAACCGCAAGGGACTGAACGACTGGATCTACGAGCAGGCGCAGGCGGAGAAGGCCAAGAAGGCGTCTAGCTAGGCAGCGGGTGGTTTATGAATGAAATGACAAGCCTTGGGCACAGATCTCTCTGACTCCGTCGGCTCCGGCTGCCTGCAAAAACTGTGCGACGCCATTCCGGAAACCACGGCGCCATATCATCTGATTGATCCGACATGTCATGGTGGCGCTGGGCGCCTCGGTGGCACACGCATCGAGCGACTCAGGCTGAAATGGTGGCACACACCACGAGAATGGCTTTGACGTTGCAATATCGAGGGATAACCTCGCCCTTAGCCACCACCATGGAGAAATGGTTGGAGCTATTGATTTCTTTGTGTCTCAAGTGTGGCCAGAGATGTCCTCTTTGAACCTCGTTGCTCACAAGACGAGCGTTTTGATTGCACCTACGCCCAGTTCGAAGTTGGTCGATACCAAACGAAGCTCTACCTCCAACATTAATCGTTGCTGCATTCCGGCTGCTCTATACCCAGATCCGAACGACGATCACGGAATTATTGGACAGTCCAACGCAGAAATCGCAAACATTTCAAGTCTTTCACATCCACTGTGCATACTATTCATGAGCGCATATCAGGAAAGTGTGCTGTTCAGCTGGACCTTCTTCCCCTGTGGTGTACGATTGTTCCCCAACACCTGGCCCCACAGGCGCCCAGAACAATATGAAGACTCCCAACCACCACAATGAAAGCTGGTCCTCGGCCAAAATTCAACCTGAATAATCTCTCGACCTGCCGCAATGCTCGTGCTTTCGAATTGTTCCTTGTTCCTACGCGCAGCCCTGCTCTGGTTGCCAATCTGCTTGGCACATGAACATGATTTCATCTCTTTCTGTTTCCAATCAATCTCATGTTCAGATATGCCTCCATCGCAAAGATCAGATATTCGACGGACCGACAACACTCGTGGTCGAAGAAATTATCCATCGTTCAAGACGAAAGATCGTTGAAATCATCGTGAACGACAGCCATCGCATAACATCCCCAAAGATCCAGATCAGATGGAGTCTGCCGCAGCTGTCAAAGTATCGTGGAGAGATCTTTTTGCTTTCACCAGATGGACACACTGTGTCGCTCTCGTCCCGGCAGTCATCGCTTCATGTGCCGTCGGGGCATTCAAGACTTCGTTGGCCGTCACTCTCGGTCTCTTCTTCCAGTATACCGTCGATGTTGCCGACGGCTCCGTCGGAGGCCCAGAGACTATTAAACGCACGGCAGCCCTGAGTGTAATTCTTTGCGGGCTTGGAGCCGGTCACTGGGCTGCCAACACCGCCTTTTTCGCCTCTTGGGTTCTCTTCGGCGAGCTGCAGGCCAAGAGCACTCGCGAACAACTGTTCAAGAGCCTCCTTAAAAAAGACATGTCCTGGTACGACTCCCAGTCCGAGGGCGTTTCCAGTCTTCTCGTGCGGATCGAGTCGTAAGTCTCCCTTTCTTGTGATCACACCGATATCAATGGCATCTAACATGGCAGACAAACTCGTGAACTACAAATCGCCACATCCCAGGTTCTTGGCTTTCTCATAAGCGATATCGTCGTCTCCGTCGCCTGTCTCATCGTCAGCTTTTACATGTCCTGGAAGCTCACCCTGGTCCTGCTCGCCACTGTTCCCATCTCGATAGTTGCGCTCACTCTGGCAACTCGTCGCCTCCAACCCGCCATCCAGTTACAGAAGGCCCACCTCTCCCAAGCGACCAAGTACGCCAACTCGTCGATCACGGGCATCGACCTCGTCAAGATCTACAACGGCTTCGACACAGAGGTATGGCACTACCTCAACTCTATCAACGCTTCGATGAAGCAATACCTCGTACAGGCGCACTGCAACGCGGTGCAGATGGGCTACGCTAAGTTCTGGGTCGTCAGCCTGTTCGCGGTGGGTTTCTGGTATGGGATTGTGCTGGTGCAAGAGGGCGCGAGCCCGGCGCAGATCTTGACAACGTTCTATGCCACCTTGACTGCCCTGCAGGGCATTGAGAATCTGATGCCGCAGTGGCTTGTACTGGCTAAGGGGATGGCGGCTGGTCAGTCGCTTCGACAGACTGGCGCGTATGTTAACAGGGGAAAGAAGCGTGTTGGCACCCACAAGCCGAGCTGCTGCATTGGGGATATTGAAGTCAGTGATGTAAGTCGACCGTTGCATGTGTGGAGATCTTCTAGACTGACCGTTTGGTAGGTGAGCTTCGCATACCCCTCGAATCCCGCCCAGATTGTCCTCCAGAAATCATCCTTTCGTTTTCGTGCTGGCGAGACGTGCTTCATCGTTGGTAAAAGCGGCTCTGGAAAAAGCACATTGGGCAATCTTCTCGTCAACTTTTATGAACCGCTCACTGGAACCGTCTTGGTCGACCATCATCTTCTCCAAGATCTTGATGACGAATGGATCCGAAGGAATATTACTCTCATCCAGCAAACAAGCGTGTTGTTCAACGAGACGTTCTTCCGCAACGTGGCATTCGGCCACCCATCTCCAAACGATGTCACCCTCGAAGAGGTCAGGTCAGCCTGCGACACAGCCATTCTACAGTCAACGATTGCCGCTATGCATCAGGGGCTCGATACACCCGTTGGCACTGGAGGTTACAGCCTTAGTGGGGGGCAAAAGCAGCGCATCGCCCTCGCCCGTGCCAGGCTGCGCGACCCTCCTATCCTCATTCTCGATGAGGTTACAAGCGGACTTGATCTTGTTAGTAAGACTCTCGTTATGGAGGCTATCCGCGCCTGGCGCCGGGACAAGACGACCATCATCATCACGCATGATGTCTCCCAGATCAAGGACGACGACTATGTCTTCGTCATGGACAAGAGTCGTCTCGTACAAGAAGGCTGCCGAAGAGATATCGCTGTCGACGAGGGTGGCTTCTTTGCTGCACTTCTTTCTGCTTTGCACGACGAGGATATCGAAAGCGAGAGTTCGCCGGACATTACATCGCCACTCCAAGAGTCATTCACCGATACTGAAAATCCGTTAGTATCAAATCCTAGGGAATCATCCTTCGTGGGAAAGATGATCATGCGGGAACTAGACCAGGCCTTCGAGAGGCCCGATACCGGTCATTCGTCACGACCTTTCTCTCTCGGACATGGAACCACACGTGCAACAGAACTTAGAATGACGCGGATCTGGGACACCCCTTCTCGGAGCCGAATGAGGTTCAGTCGAGGTCTGTCGTGGCATGTAGCAGACGGAGAGGCGTCTGTACTTGACGAGAACCGTAAGGGGGCGGTAAAAGCACGTGCGCGACCGATGAGTAGCGGCTACGATGATACCACGTCTTCTTGGAGGCACAGCTTGGACCTTGTGCAGATGGCGGGAGTGAACATCCAACATCTTCGGATCGGCACGCCTGCCAGTCGGCAATCATGGCGGCAAACTTCTCACCCTCTGCCACCTGACAAAAAGGCTTTCGACACCCGATGTGGACCTGAAGCTGCTCGCCCAAATATGGTGATGGCAGATACGCAAGAGAATGTGAATCCGAACCCGTCCTCCATCGCGCTCTCGCGCTCGGTTTGGGCGCAACTGTCGAATCCTGACCGCCTCAAGCTCCTGTCTGGAATGATACTCTGCATCGTCGTCGCTGTCTCCGGACCTCTTTTCGCGTTCGCCTTCACCCGGCTCCTCGAGACCTTCTGGGCGGATGAGGACGTACAGCGCTCAGTCGGCCAGAAATGGGCCGTCGTCATGGTGGCTGTTGCAGTGATCGATGGACTTTCCACCTGGTTGGGCAGATACCTGATGGAGTTTTCAGGCCAGGCCTGGGTCAATGCACTGCGAATTGAGGCATTGAAGCGAATCCTCCAGCAGCCCAAATTGTGGTTCGATAAGCCCAAGCACTCAGCTGGTCGGATTACGGAGTGCATGGACAGGAACGCCGAGGAGATGCGGAACATCGTCGGCCGCTTTGCCCCCATCATCATCGTCGTCACGTTCATGGTGCTTACGGCCTTCATCTGGGCGCTGCTCGTGCAGTGGAAACTGACTTTGGTTGCGCTGTCAGGTGGCCCGGTCATCATGGCGACTGTCAAGGCCTTCTCTTACACAAGCACAAAGTGGGAGACGACCTGCAACCAGGGCGCAGCAGACACGAGCGCCGTGCTGGCCGAGACATTCAGCAATATCCGCGTCGTCAAGAATTTAACTCTCGAGGCTTACATGTCAAAGAAGTATAACAAGTCGGCTGAGTCCACCTTCAAGCTCGGCATCCGGCGGGCGGCGTACACCTCGCCTCTCTTCGGCCTGTATCAAGCCGTCAACTTTTTCCTGCTGGCTCTCGTGTTCTACTACGCCATGGTACTTGTAGGCACGTACGAGGCAGGGACAGCGCAGATTCAGCAGGTGTCCAACCTTGTTCTCTTCACCATGGGCCAAGCAGGATCTCTTCTCGGAACAATTCCTCAGCTGGCCGCCGCTCGAGCCACGGCAGCGCAGATGCTATACTACGCCGCCCTACCAATACATTCCTCTGACGAAGAGGACCTCGACACGGGGCTTGGCAAGCTTGCCTCGCCTCTTCCGATCAAGATGGCGAATCTGAACTTTACATATCCATCTCGGCCCGCGCATCAGGTCCTCCGCAACCTCTCCCTCGAAATCAAGGCCAGCACCTGCACAGCCATAGTCGGTTCCTCGGGCTGTGGCAAGAGCACGCTGATATCTCTCCTCATGGGCATCTACTCCCCGCCGCCTCCGACCCTTGTCTCTTACGAGAAGCGCCCACAGCTCACCTTCGCCGGCAGGCCCTTCTGGGACATTGACCAACCCCACCTCCGCTCAGCCATGGCCTACGTTCCCCAGGCCCCTTTCCTCTTCCCTGCCTCAATCGCCGAGAACATTGCATACGGTCTGCCCGATGCTTCTCCGCTCCGCAGCCAGGCGAGTCTCGATCATGCAGCACGAGCAGCCGGCATTCACGATTTCGTCATCTCGTTGCCTGGAGGCTACGGCACCCTCATCGGCGAGGGTGGACAGACTCTCTCGGGAGGGCAGGCCCAGAGGGTGTGTATCGCGCGAGCACTGGCGAGGCGGCCGAAACTGTTGGTGATGGACGAACCCACGAGCGCGCTGGATGCTGAGACGGCGGAGATGGTGAAGGGGACGATTCGAGGGCTGATAGCCGAGGCGAGCAAATCTGGCATGGCGGTTGTCATTGTGACGCATGCTCGAGAGATGATGCAGCTCGCCGAGAGAATCTTGGTTTTGGAGGACGGCAGTGTGGTTGAGGAAGGGACCTGTGAGGAGTTGAGGGGACGAAACGGGGCTTTTACAAGGTTGGTTGGTGTTGGAAGGCCAACGCTGAGGGGGGGATCGCGTGACGATATCCAAACATAAGGGGACTCACAGCAATCGACGAGAAGAAGAAGGCTCTTTCAGTGCTCTTATTTCCTTTTTCATTCGTATTTGCTCTGCTCTATCATAGAAGGACAGTGATACCGCAGAGGAAACAACCCCTTGGAGGTCCCCACCAGACTCGCATGGCGACTTCCTCTTCCTGCTCAACCGTGCCTTCCTTCCCAATTCACGCGTGCCATGGCCCGAACGCTTTTGCAGGCAACACGGCAGAAGGCAGACAGATGCCTTGGTGAATACAGTCTTTTTCTTCCCTACTACCTGCACATGAGCAACAACCTTTGTGGTATCGATCCCAAAACCTCGTTCTCTCCTTCCGCATACAACCGCCGACGCAGATATTGCATTTGGTGCATCCCTTTCCTGTGCCTTCTCCCACGATAGCACACCACTCGTCACCTTGTAAACGCATCCAAAACTGTTCTTCATAGGGTCGCACACATTCCTCCCTTTGTCGTCACCACCACACTCTGGTGGGCCTGCTGGATAGAATGGCCTACCAAGACCAAGTCGATGCGCTTGCCAAGGACCGACTCTTTCTGCAGCGGAACAGTCCGAGGTAGGAGTCATTCCGCGTAACTCCTGCACATATTTTTGGTTATTTAGCTTCTGACCTGCCTTAGTTCTGACCAGAAGCGGATCCTCGAGAACAACGAAGACAACCAGCACGCTCAGAGTGACCAGTCTACCCCTCCGGCTGCCTCTGCCAGGCAGCGGAAGCTTCTGCAGACCACCCTTGTCACAGAGTTTCTCAAGCCCGCTACTATTTCCGAATACTATCAGGGCAACCTCAAGCGCCAGAATGCTGACGACGACAAGGACGTCGACTATCCCCTGACCATTACCGATCCCAACTGGCAGTGGGGCAACCCCACGGCCATTGTAACCTCTAGCAACCGAGACAAGACAGTCACGCTTCTTTATTTCACCAGCACCACCTTGGAGTGGCACCGTCCTGACAGTGTTGATGGTCCAAGGACGATCACAACGACCACAACCGTTACCGAAGGCACCGTCACAAACCAGCCCGTGACTTCCCTCGTGGATACCTGTGAGTCCGTGCGCCAGCGCTCAGTATAGGAGAAGCATCCTGACCACTGTAGCTACTCATGTCTCTACTGGAGCTAGAACCTCCGAGGAGCATGAGGTGTCCACTGTCGTTGAGACCATTATCAAGACTGCAACTGCTCCTGCCTCTAGGTCGATCGCTGAACCTGCAGCCACCAGTGCTGCCGCTGCAGAGGCGAAGGACAAGGTCGAAACCAAGCACGTCGTGATCATCATCGCTGCCGTCGGCGTCTTCGCGATTTTTCTCTTCATGATGGCCATAGTCGTGCCTCGCCTCAAGCGTTGCTACAAGAGAAGAAAGGCTAACAACGAAGTCATTGAGCTTTGCCAAAACTATGTCAGCAGCCAGCGGAACTGGAACGAGGAAAATCGCAACAAAGACGAGCAGCTGCCTTTTACAGGCACTCCTGTTCCCGCCATGGATACAGTTACCCAGCGCGGTCCCTATGATTACCCCATGCGGTATGCGGCCGACCCCACTGCTGGTTTTCCGGCCGAGTTGCACCATCAGGGCAGCCAGCACGGCTCAGGCGGAATCCAGGAGGCCCGGGCATACCATGAGACACCCATTCCCGCTTCGAGCCACGACGAGTATTCGCATCCTGTCAACGGCCAACAGAAATATCCGGTGGAGCTCCCAAGCAATGGAACTGATGTCTCCCCACGTACATAGGTGCCTGGCAGCCTGCGCTTGCTATTGACTCGCAAACTTGAGTTTAGAATCTGAGACTTCGGGATGAACGGTTGTCAGATGATACATTGGAAGCATGAGAAACAGACCGATTGAGAAAAAAGAATTGAAACCATTTCTCTTCAGCCACGCGCTAGGGCAAATACCTCTTCGTGAAGATGCTTTATTTACTAATGATAGCTGTCGTCAGGTCTACATCCCGGAACCATTCGCGGAACGTCGGCCACGGCGGAAATACACGGCAATAAGTTCTCCGCCCTTCCCCATACAATAAGGCCCAGACATTTGGTCTATCTGCCCCACGGACTTCCTGGGCGGCTGAGCTGTGCAGTGCAGCCGGAAATATCCTGGAGATGCAAAGCGACAAGATGGCTCGCGCCGTAAAAGGCAGGACCCTCGCGCATGACGAAGGGGGCGGGGAAATTGACCACAAGGCACGCAAGCCTACCCGCTGTACGCATACCCGATCTCCAACGCGCCCAGTCCACCATCACGACACCACACGGGCTATGATCCTTGTTGCTTCTCCGCCAGATCCACCTCCTGACCGCCCTCTCTAGGTCTTCAACAGTGCTGTAAACGTCCGTGGTAGGAGCCCTGCAGCGAGCTCGCAAACCCTGTTATTCCCGTCCACACCGGGGCCACCACGAACATAAGTTAGCCTCTCGGCGCTCAGATTCAACTCGTCATGTCAAAGTATTTCATCTGCTCCAGGACCCCCAATCGACTGCGGGCCGGCGGGCCCTTGGACTTCTCCTCCAGCGCACTCCACTGAACGAATCTCTTCGCTACCTGGCGGCTTCCATGCTTGAGGATCATTCTCAATGTCACGCATGAATCCTCATCCTGTACAGCATGCAGAGCGCTATCGATGCGCCTCGGTCCCAGGGCAGGCGCTCAACGCAGGAAGACATGAGCGAGAACCGACAACGCACAGCTCCTTTGGACCTTGACGCCAACACACCCATCACCTACCGATATCTCGGCTTTGAGACTCTTTTGCCTAGTATACGCTACGCCGATATTGACGTGGATGCGCAGCAACGCCTGCCACCATGTCCCGACGACTCCAAGTTCGGCTCACCATTGCAGTGGCCCCAGCATCGTAAGCATCTCGTGCTGGCCCTGTCTTGCGCGGCGACTTTTCTTACGGCATACACATCCGGCTCGTACTCTCCTCCCGTCGCAGCCATGGCAGAGGACCTCGGCTCGTCCAACATTGCCATGATCGCCGGCATCACAACGTTTTGCATCGGCTTTGCCCTCTCACCAATGGTACTAGCACCCATCTCGGAAATCTACGGCAGAAGAATCGTGCTTGTTCCCTCGGGCATAACCTATGTTGCTTTCCAGGCCGTCTGTTCAGTCATGCCGAACCTGGCTGGCATGCTGATCGCCCGCCTTTTCGTGGGCATCGGAGGAGCTGTCTTCAGCTCCGTCATTGGGGGCATCATTGCCGACATGTGGACCAAGGATACGCGCAATACCCCGATGGCCCTCTTCAGCGGCTCGGTCCTGGCTGGCACTGGTGCAGGGCCCCTCCTTGCCGCCGTTATGATGAGCAGGATCGGGAATAAGACTCTTGCCTGGAAGTGGGTATTTTGGCACCAAGTCATCGTAGACGCCGTGCTGGTCGTCTTGATCGTCTTTTTCTTGGACGAGAGTCGTGGGTCTGTCTTGCTGTCGCGCAAGGCCAAGGTCCTTAACGAATGGTACAAGGCACTGGAGGATGCCGGCGTCTACGGTTGTCGGTTCGAGGAACCCGAGATTCTGAGCGACAGTAGCGACACGACGACGTCGGGCAGCGACGAAAAACTTGCCTCTTGCCAGTGGACTGCCGCCGACCAGCCTTCTCGAGCGATGACAACAACAGTCCGCCTGCGCTGGCTCGTGAAGGAGGACGAAGAGCGCGCTTCCCTGGCACAGCTGATGAAGACATCGATGATTCGGCCGTTCCACCTGCTAGTCGCCGAATCTGTCGTCTTCTTCTTTTCCCTCTGGTGTGCCTTTGCCTGGGCGGTGCTCTACTGCACCTTTGGCACCATCCCGCTGGCGTTTTCTCGCGTACGCGGCATGAATATGGAACAATCGGGATACTTCTTCGGCTCCATGATTGTTGGTGCTTGCGTCGGCACCGTCGTCAGCATCTACCAGGATCGCCTTCTGGCCCTGCCCCAATGGCGAGCCGACAGCCCTGTCGAGACGCATTCCTCGTTCTGGCGTCTCATGAGGCGCCGTTTCCCAGCCGAGGCCCCCGAGTCGCGGCTTTACTTCACCTGCCTCACCGCGACTTTCCTGCCGGTCGGCCTCTTCCTCTTTGGCTTCACCGTCGGCTCCGACGCGCACTGGATCGCGCCTGCTTGCGGCATCGGGCTCGCGACCTGGGGCATCTACTCTGTGTACCTCGCCACTTTCAACTACTTTGCCGACATTTACCACATGTACGCCTCGTCGGCGCTCGCCGCGCAGTCTTTCTGCCGGAATCTGCTAGGAGGTGCGTTTCCGCTGGTCACGGGGGCGTTGTTCACGAATCTGGGGGAGGCGCGGGCCGGTGCGTTGCTGGGCGGCATCGCCACGGCGTTGACGGTTATACCGTGGGCGTTGGTGTTTTTCGGACAACGGATTCGGTCGCGCAGCAGGTTCGCCATTGTAAGTTTAATCAATGGGAGTGTCCATGAGGGCGGATTACTGACACTAGACAGGCACTTCAACCACAGTAATGAATGATGATTCATGAGACAAAGAAGTGACGAATGACATGTGCCTCAAGGAACGGTCTGCTATCTAAGCGGCATGCAGACGCCGTTCACCGTCCAGCCTCCGGTAAGGGATCGCGTCCACTGGAGAATGATGTGGAGGTACTCTAAGAAGCCGGACAGAGGCTTGAAAACGATAATCTCACAGACCACAAGTCGAGGAAGACATGTTGAGCGACCCAAGACGACTGATCCGGGACTGAATCTCTGATCAGCCAAAGTCGCCACGGACTGGGCAAGATCAACGTCTTGCCCCAACTGCTGCGTTCTTCGACACCGCGACCTCGCGAGCGCTCCTCCATCGGGCGCATGCCACAATCTGATCGCTCCTTCCAGTAACATCCAACACTCCGGCCTTTGCGATAGAGAATGCATCGGCGCTGGCGTGCAGAAGCTTCGGTATCGCGCCAGCTTGACCCACGAATTCGCCTCGGGCATGCGGAGCAATCTGGTGACGGAGCCGTTACTCTCAAGGACAAGATTTTCGGCGGTGCTGTCTCTTATCAAGCGAACTGTCGTTGGGGATAGCATGGCATGCTTTGCTTGATTTGGACGTGAGCGGGACACAACGTCCTTCCCCTTGCTGAACTGCATCACAACGATTGGCCGTTCTACCCTGCCGAGGAACACGGCATCTGCCTTTCGATGCAACTCTTGCACGACAAAGTTGCTGTCAACTTGATCATCGGCGTTGGCAGTGTCAACTTTTGCATCGGCGTTGGCTCGGGCGTAACGCATCGTGGCGCCCGTCTCAGAAAGGCTCAAGAGGTCAAACTCGCCATGATGTCGGCTGGTAGCGGTCGTCTGCGTGGGGGCTACCGCTGGGAGAGAACGGCAAAAGTACCAATTTCTAGATGGCTCGTCTTGCCAGAAGTGAAGGAGCCGGCGACCGAGGCTGTTCCGGCCGCGGACTGCCACGATGGCCTCGAGGTTGCGATGGGACGTCATGGTTGTGTGTCCCGTAGATTTGACCAGGACAGCGATGAAACGAAGAAGCAATTGGAAGCTGTACAGGGTGATCGGTGAATGTAGACTGACGGTACGATTCAATCCCGATTATGTTACGCACAATGGGGGTGAATTGCCAACTTATATCGCAAGGCGAAGGGAACGTGTCCTGCCCCTTTGTGCCCTTCTTTGTGCAGCGCGCAGCACCGCCTGGGCGTGGCTGTTGGTTGAATTCCTGCGGCGTGCTGCGCGAACAAAGCCTATTATCATTCTTGCTTTGCCAGCTCCATTTTTTGTGCGAAAGATGTTGATTCTGAGTCTGGTGTTAGGCGCCGTAGCGGAGCGTCCCGGGCCTGTCCTCGTCGACAGCCGGTGAGCTGGCAGGACGAGGTTGTGCGGGAGGGATGGCCGAGCACGGCGTCATTGGCCCGCCCATCAATGAATCGTCAGCCTGGAAACTGCTAACAGGATAACGGAAAGGGTCTTGCTGCCAGACCAGCAACATCATCCGCGAACACTAACGCTCGAGGGGGCGGGGGGTTACAACCCGGTGAACGTTTGTTCACGAAGCTATTGACCATGTACCGCAAGCCCTCCCCCGCGAATCAACACGCCTCATCAAGACCACCGGCCCGCCTTTCAGATTCATCCGTCACGGCCCACATCAACAGCCATGTCTGAAGACCATGGCCGCGAAGAACGCCCACGGTCCATCATCACAACCTTCCACCTCGCGCACCAGCGCCATGCGCCGAGCGCAGCGGCGGTGACACGACGTTGTGCGCATCTGCTTATAAGGCGAAGCGCGCAACAGGTCCTGTCTTCTTTCCTCTCCTCATCAAGCCAACACAAGCAAACAAGACAAGATACCACACACACACACACACACACACAAACAAGCATTCACAAAAGGTAAAGCCACCATGTGCAACCTTACCAACCTCATCGTCAGCAACACCAACGGCACCGCCATGGTCAATGCTAGCACCAACGCCCACACTGACACCAACGGCAAGCCCGTTGCTGCCAAGGCCGTTGAGGCTCCCAAGCCCGTCAATGCTGATAACCCCTGGACCTGCGTCTGCGGGTACCGCAACGAGTACGGCGGCATGATCTGCGGAGCCTGTGGTCGCCGTGGCTAAATCCATCAGGCCAAGAGAAACTCGGGTCTGACTTCATGGTCGAGGACGATGCGGTAAGTCAAGCTAACCGGGTAAGAAACACATGGCAAACCATGCGAGACACATTGTAAGAACAACAAGGACAAGCGTGATAGGAGGAAAAGGGACACCACGCAAAGTAGATAGTCACAGAGGGTAGCTAGCAGGCTTCTGTAAAAATTCAAGTCGCCTACCCTGGGATAAAAAAATATCATTTGTATGCCCATTTTGCCGTGAAGCCATGTACTTTTTGTTTCTTCGTAACCTGAAGGGGCCGCCCTGCCTCTCTCATTCATGCTCATGATACAGTCAACAGACTGTCAATGTCGACGCGCTCGAAATAGCTTATATGCCCAAAGTCCACCCAGAATTGCGCCAGCTTGTTCGGCGATATCAAAAACAGCTGTGAAGGGATGTACTTGTCTGTTGGAGCACGTCAGCGAATCACGCACCCCGGCCGATCTGCATGCAGTAGAGTGACATGTGCATCAGTGAGATGCGCAGCCGTGAGAACATACCGCTAAAGTACCCTGTATTCGCCACGTGCCCCCTGCTCTTGACGATGCGCGCTCCGGCAAAGGGTTCCTCCGTCGCGACACCGGCGGACCCCTCGGGACCCAGGTCTTCAGCGATAAAGGTGTACTCGCCGCGGGGCACATTAGCGTCTCCCGTCAGTTTGATGGCTTCAAGCCTGCCGCGGTACACCCTGGCCTCGAGCTGCCGATTCGCCCAATCCTCATCACTCTCCGAGGCGTTCCTCGCAAGCCCGAGCTCTTCGTCGGTCGCGTCCTTGTCGTCGGGCTGGTTGATCAAAAGAAACTCACACCCGTGCCCGCTGTAGTCGCCGACCCAGATGCCGCGCCACGGCTTGTGTGCCGTGGGTGTGTACAGGGCCGGGTCCAGGGTCGAATACGTATTGATCTCCTCGCCAATGTGGGGTCCGAGCGGCGGCCCACGGGGCGGCATGACTGCTATGGGCGGTAGGCTGTCGGAGCCGACATAGTTGGCCATATCCATCCACTGCCGTATGCGGAAGGCGCGATCCGAGGCCTCGGCCCGAGACTGCGGCCTCTCATTGAGCGCCTCCACAGCCGTCGGCACCGCGGCAAAGCCTGCAACCCGGTGTTTTGCAGGTATGGGCTTTGGGGGCCATATGCAATCGTACGGAAAGGCTTTGGCAAGAGCTTCGGTCGCCACGTCGTCCTTGACGGGACGTGCGAGGGAGAGGTTGCTGAAGACGTAACCTGGACGGTTGTCCAGTATCATGGGCGTCTCGGCCTGGAACTTGGACGTGACGCGGGGTGTTAACGCAGCGGGGATGCCGGGGTCGTCGCCGACATGGAACTGGAGGATTGGTTTGTCAAGGTGTAGCTTGACCTGCGGCCGAAAGTCATGAATGACAACGTCGCTGTTGGCTGGCCAAGGCTGAAACGACGCATGGCGACGGCTGACGGCGAGCAGCTGGTAGCCTTCGATGCAGCCACGGCGAGGATCGTAGCGGACGACGATGATCTTGCCCATGAGGTTGCGGTCGCAGAACCAGATCTTGTACTTGGGGAGGAACCAGTGAGGGTCATGTGCGCCATAGAGCTCTCGGAAGGTACGACATGGGTATGGTGAGGAGATGACGAGGCCGGGAACGTTGGCCTGGACGCGTGGCAGCCATTGTCTGTCGGCGGTGGCGTGAAGGTGGATGTGTCGACAGGTACCGGCGACGAGGGCGAGCTCTATTGGCGAGAGATGGGCAAGAACGGCGTCGAGGAGCTCGGCCGGTAGTGACAGAAGATGACAGGTCGTCTCGGAAGGACCATGATCTTCTTCTATGGCCCCATGTTAGTGAATGCCGTGCTATCGTAAGGGTCCACGGAGAAGCCAGCAGGGATATGACATCAAGAGGGAGAGGAGTGTGCTGGAGATCATGACACACCATTCTCAAGACTGGTGTCGAAACGAGGCGACTTCGACGAGGAGGCCTGCCAGGCTTGGGGCTCGGCTGCATCCATCGTCTTCTACGGCAGGCCAGCCAGCCAGCCAGCGGGCCAGCGAAGACGGTCGCTCTCAGAATTGGGCGATGGTAGGTGCCTGGCCGAAAGCGAGGAGGGCTCTGGAAGGGGGTGGGGAAGGACGAATGACACGAGGGATTCCCAAGGCGGCGAACGGAGGCGATCCTGGGGGTCAAACGGCGAACGGCCGGAGGTCAAGCTTCGCGGGGGAGGAACGACTTTCACGGGGGCGCAAGGTAGACGGAGCTGTCACAGATGCCTAGTACGGCAGTATGGCAGTATGGCAGAATACCAGGATGTAGGCCGGCGACCGGAGGTGCTGACGCAGAGGCGTGATGTTGATCCAGAGGGTGGATGCCCCGAAACCGGCGCAATGGTGAAAGCCCGGATTGGAGCTTGTCAGGTTGGCTATGGGGATGGGTCAGGGTATGGACAAGGTAATTCGCTGGCCGTCAGGTCCGATCAGATCAGGTCCGGGAAGACCTGGGGGTGGCGCCCAGGGGGTGACGGGAACTTTGTGGATTTGGGGGGAAGAGAAAGCGGGTAGCTCTCTGGCTCAGATTTGAAAGGTTGAAATCAATGATGCAGTTTGGGGGTCATTGGTGCAGCCACGAGAGGAGGCTAGTGTGGAGGAACAAGTCATCGGCCGCGTTGAAGGGGATCGAGGAGAAAAGCAAGTCGGAGTAGGGAATGGTGAACAGGGACAAACAGAGACAAAGGAAGAGAAACTTGGCTTCAAGTACAGGAGTTGTCAGAGGGAGAGGAGGTCTCTGAGGTCTGGTCGAGGTTCGAGGTCCAACCAAAGCACGCCCCTCTTCTGCCTCTGTGCTGCCTGTGTTCTCTCGCGCGCGCGCTCTCTCTCTTTCTCTCTCTCTCTCTTTCTGTATTTGCTTGTGATTCTGCCGCTGCCGCTATCGATGTACCGTGTCACGGGGATATCCAGACGATCTTTCTCTCGATTCATTCATTCGCGGGGTGACTGGACCGGCATCGATTCACGCGACCCGACCGGAAGCCATGCCGGCGCAGGCTGGCTGCTAGGCGATAGCGATGGCGCTTCTGGCTAGACGGCCGATGCGCCGCGGGTGATTTGATCCCTCCCCCCCTTCTGGATCAGGACCACGACCAGGACAAACAGGTGATCGCGTGCGTGTCGAGCTGTTTCCGTATCGAGGTGCCAAGAGGCCACTTCCGGATGGCATGTCGTGATACAGCAGGAGCTTTCGACAGAGAGAAGAGGGTCGTGCGGTCGAGAGAGGGGCCAATGGAGGACCCAGGTCCAACCAAGATGGCATGGATGAGGTGTGTTGACTCGGCCGAACAGCGCAGAGGCATGGGAATGGGAATCTTGCTCTCAGATGCTGTGCCGGATCATCGACAAGCGCAAAGCAGGAGGGGGGGAAGCACCTACCCAGCTAGGCAGGTCGATGTCGGGCGGTGGAGGGGCATGGTGGTGCAAGTGGGAAGGTCAATTGGTGATGGGACATTCTGGGGACAATGGATCGGGACTGATTGGAAGCTTGGAGGGGGAGAAGGACCAAGAGCACGGGCGGATGGAATCTGGCTGGCGGCCTTGTCTGGCACTAGGTAATGAACCTCGCCTCATTGGCCAGCCTCTCAGGGTCCGCTCTCAAGGCGACAACTCACGTGATGAGTCTAAAGATAGGAGAGACGCGCAGCCTCATCGAGCCTAGCGCCGGCAGTACACGCCTGCGTCCCTGTCTCGTCGCTCGTACCAACGACACCGCCACGACCCAGCCACTATTGGGAGCGGCGAGCAGCTCAAACACCTAAAACCAGGCGCATGACTTGATCCCCTCGAGGGGATGGTTTCCCTATCGAATGACCTTGGCCTTTCGTTCTCCAAAGACACATACATCATCACCATCACTGCTTACGACTCTTCTCGTATTTGGATTTTTTTCTTCTTCTTTTCAATCACAAAATAGACCCTCGCTTCACCCCCGTCTGCCTTTACGACTCGCTCGTGAGGAACGTACAAGTACGCGCGTCGTGCATATTTGTGGCGCCCCTGCCATTTTAAGGGCTCCCCCCCCCCTGCCTTCACCTGCCTTCACCTGCCACAGCCAGGCTCGTCTCTTCAGCCTCTTCGCATTGCATCGCACTTCATCACACAGTCGAGCTCCCGGTTTACGGTCACTACCTTTGATTGCTGCTCATTCGCGTTGCATCTCTCTCTCTCTCTCTCTCTCTCTCTCTCTCTCTCTCTATTTCGTTCACTCACTCTGAACTTCAATCATCAAACCTCACATCGTCAGTCCTCGTACCATTCATCGGGACCAAATCTCGCAATCAAGCCTGATCACCTAGCCTGACCATCATGGCGCCTCTGGAGCATCCCGCCTGGGCTGCCGCAGGGTCAGTGGCCCGCGACCTGCTCGCCGCCGCCGCATCCCAAGACACTGCAGCCGCCGCGACGTCGACGCACTACAACACGTACGCGCGGCGCGACCTCTCGACGAACCACACGCAGCGCGTGACCCTCGGCGTCATCGCCGCCTACACCGTCATCATCGCGCTGCTGTGGAACATTCCCTACGTCAGCTACATCCTCTGGCCGCTCAAGATGCTGACCATCGCCTTCCACGAGTTCGGCCACGCCTTCGCCGCCGTCTGCACCGGCGGCAAGGTCGTCGGCATCACCCTCGACCCGCGCGAGGGCGGCGAGACGAGGATGCTCGGCGGCAAGAGCAGCATCACCCTGCCGGCCGGCTACCTGGGCTCCTCGCTCATCGGCGCCCTGCTCATCTTTTGCGGCTTCCACGTCAACGCCAGCAAGATTGCGAGCATTGTCCTCGGCGTCTGCTTCCTGCTGACTCTGTGGTGGGGCAAGCGGGACTGGCTGACCATCCTGACCGTTCTCTTTGCCGTCGCCATTCTCGTCGGCAGCTGGTTCATCTCGCACTCGCATGGCCTGCGCTTTGTCGTGGTGAGTCTCGAGCGCCCTTTTGCGTTGCTGTTCTGTTACGGGGATCCAAACTAATCATCGGCAGCTCTTCATCGGCGTCATGTCATCGCTGTACTCGGCCTGGGACATCTGCGACGACCTCATCATGCGCAAGGTCAACAGCTCCGACGCCAGCGTCTTCGCTCGTCGCTACGGAGGCTCATCGCAGTGCTGGGGCGTCATCTGGGTCATCATCAGTCTGTGTTTCATGGCCGCTGCCATGGTCGCCGGCATCGCCGCATTTCCTCAGTCGTTTGAGCAGCAGGACCGCGACTCGAAGGCGTTCTTGCCGACGAGGTGATATTTCTACTGTGAGCAGAGCGGACGTGTTGAGGGTGGCGTTGTTGTTGTTGTTGTTGTTGTTGTTGTTGTTGTTGTAGAACACGGATCGTTGATACCCCAGGATTGTGTATGTATGCATGTATGGTGATGCGAGGAAGCAATATGCTTGGATAGGTAGACAAGGGACCAGAGGACCCAATCGAAGTAGGGAAGCTTCAAGAAGATGCTGGTCTTATTAAGCAAGACCACATGTCATCAACCATGGCGACACGCCGGGATGCCGGGCACAACTCTCCGTGACGCCTTAGAGACCCCTGCCGGGCGCGCCTGGTGGGACATATCCGGCCCCACCAGGTTCCACCGCCCGGTACCCAAGTGGATCTCCGATACCGGTGGAGAAGACGGCGCCCACCTTCATCAAGCCGAAGCAAGCCGACGATCCTCGACAACCTCAAATTTTCACTTTTTTTCCCCCCTTTCATTGCCCCATTGGGCCTCATACACGATGCTGATTGGGCTCCAACACACACCTAGACCTTCGGAGATTATCTCTCTTCAGCAGCCCTCAGCAGCCGCGAGTCCAGATGCAGAGGTGTCAAGCCCTGCCTCCATCGCAGCTGGAGGCTATCATCGGCAGGACGTGCAAGCAAGGGTCAACATTGAGTATCCGAAAAGCCACCGTGGTCTGGCATGGCATGTCATGTCACTAGAAACTTTGCCGTGCAGAAATGTCATTCCTGCGCCCTTAGCTACAGTCCCATGATGTCAATCGTCAGCCACCCTGACACCGCCGTCCCAGTACCAAACTAAAGGCGTAGGGCGTACGTAGACTACGCGTGTGGGGGGCCTGATGGGGGTCCAGGAGCCCAGGGGGGCCTAGGACCTCCTCGTTGCAACGCCAACTGCCTGTAGGCTCGTGGAACCCGTGGGGCCGATGACTGTCTAGTGGACGATGCCATGCGAAATCTCTTTCTCCTTGAGTCACCTAGTACGCTTGGTACGTCGCAGGCGACCCTCCCCCGATCCACGGATGTGCACCCGGCACGGCGCCCTTTACGCCGCTGCCGAGCGTGAACCCGCTGTCTATTTAGGAATCACGGCGGCAGGTTTTTTTTCACATTTATCTGGATGGACGGTATCGTATTCATGGCTGTTAGGTTTTACGTGTCTGTAATACATTTTTCTCCTGTGCCTTGTGCCTTTTCTTGTGGACGATGACCATGACCATGTCTTTGAACACGGGCAGCTCGACGTCCGAAGAGTCCGTCTCGACTTCGGTGAGGCGAGCCCCGCCTCGACCCAAGATTCAAGATTTACCAGAGGGTATGGACCCGACCAAATTCTCGACTGTATGTGTGACCTCCCTCGGTCTTGCTCTAAAGCCCGCCAAGCTGATGAGAAACAGCTGAAGAAATTCCATGTCGTCTTCGTCGGCACGTGGTTCACCGCCAACAGCGCCATCGGGTCCTCTCTGCCGTCCGGCGCAGTGAGCTGGATCGCCGATGACTTCTCCGTCACCAATCCGACCCATCTCGTCCTCCTCAACTCCTTGTTCCTCGTCGGTTACTCCGTCGGCCCCCTATTTTTCGGACCCATGAGTGAGTACGCCGGCCGCTCGCGCGTGCTGCTCGCAGCCTACGTCGGCTACTGCATCTTCACACTCGCTTGCGCCGTCGCACCTTCGTATCCCGCCCTGCTCATCTTCCGCCTTCTCGGCGGCGTAAACGCCGCATGCACCAACGCCGTCGTCGGCGGCCTCTTCGCCGACATCTACGACGAACCGATCCAGCGGGGCCGCGTGCTCGCCTACTTCATGACGGCCACGACCATCGGACCGCCCCTGGGCCCCATCATCTCCGGCTTCGCCTCAACCATCGACTGGCGCCTGACCTTCTGGATCGGCCTTGCTCTCCTGGGCATTGGCCTCCCTGCCCTCATCACGCTGCCCGAGACGTACGTGCCCGTCATCCGCCGCCGCCTCAAGCAGAAGGCCCTCAAAGCCGAGAGGGCTAGCCAGGCCGAGAAGGCCAGCCGGAACGACCCCGACATGCCGACCCTCACCAAGACGGAGACGCTGAGCGGCAACATCCAGGTCATCTTCGCGCGGCCCTTCACCATGATAGTGCGTGAGCCCGTTGTGCTCTTCTCCTCGCTTTACATGGCGCTCGTCTACTCGATCCTCTACCTCTTCTTCCAAGCCTATCCCATCATCTTCCAGGGCGTCTACGACATGGAGCCTGGTTTCGTGGGCCTCGCCTTCCTGCCCGTCCTCGGCGGTTCGGCCGTTGCCCTCGCCATTTTCATGTGGTTCAGCGCCTACCACGCCGCCGCTCTGCGCCGCGGCGCGTCCTGGACGCGTCAGGACGAGTACCGCCGCCTGCCCCTCGCCTGCATCGGCGGGCCAGCGTACGTGCCCCCCTTTTTTCTCCATGCTGTTTCCTTTTTCGTTTCGGCTGCAGTTCGCGCCAGCACCAAAGTCCTCCGAGTGCAGACACTAACACACACCCAGGCTGTCTCTCTCCCTCTTCTGGCTCGGCTGGTCCTCCCGCGCGACCGTCCACCCGGTCGTGCCCATGATGTCCGGCTTCCTCTTCGGCGCCGGCTACCTCCTCATCTTCATGGCCATGCTCAACTACCTCACCGACGCCTACCGCCAGTTCTCGGCCTCGGCCCACACGGCCGCCAGCACGACGCGCTCCGTCTGCGCCGTCTGCCTGCCCCTCGCGACGCGGCCCATGTACGCCCGCCTCGGCATCGCCTGGGCCTGCTCGCTGCTCGGCTTCGTGGCCCTCGCCATGGCCGTCATCCCCTTTGTCTTCATCCGCTGCGGCCGGTCCATTCGCGCGCGGAGCCCGTTCTGCCAGCAGGTGCTCGCGCTCGAGCGGCCTGCGGATGACACCGATGAGGAGGAGGCGAGGGGGGAGGAGCTGCGGAGGCCGGGGACGCTGAATGCGTAGGAAGCCAAAGCCGAGAGCGGGGCCTGGTGCTACGCTCTTTGCTGTTTTGCTGACGGTGGGTGATGCATGGGTCGGAGTTTGCATTTTCTGAACGTGATAATGACGGTATTGGGGTTTCACACGGCATTTTTTTTTCCTTATAAAGAAGAACATCAAAACGGTAATGCATAATTATTAGATAGCTCTGTCTGGTGGTCGGATGTGCTTGCGGGCTTGATAGTCTCTTGCTTGGGCCTTCTGATAGAGACTGATTATGAAAAGATCTTGACTGAACGCATTGCTGGGGGTCAATTCGTCGTGTGAACTCAGGGAGGGCCACCAGACTAAATAGGCTTGCTTCACTCGCAAAACCTACTGGAGCAGCAAGTGAACACTTCATTCCCTCAAGCTGAACGAATCCACACTGCCATTGCTCTGGTTGCGTGGCTTTTTCAGCAAAAAACGGCGGGAGAGCGTCGGAACCAGAGCTGATGAGGCCGCAACGCCAACATCACATAAGGACCACATCAATGAGTGGCCAAGATGCCGTGGAAACCCCACGAGGATTTCTTTCCAATTTTCCACCGTGGCGCTGACAGCCACGATGCAATGCCCTCGAATCTCGAAACAAACCGCCCGCCAACGTGAACCGTCGTCGTAAAGGGAGTTCTACTGGGCATCCAACTGCCGACCTAACCATGATGTCAATAGTTGGGGTAGCAGGGTGGCACGCATCTTAGCCTGGATTCTCCTTCACGCCACTGACGCTTCGTGGCTTTCAGGGGTTCAGCGTCTAGAGCCCATGAGACGAAAGAGGCGTCAACCGCTCGACTTAGCTGCATCGACAGGACTTGGCGCGCGACAGTCAAACGATGCATGTTGACCTCACTGTCAAGGGGGGTGCGAATTGGAGAGCAAAGGGAAAACTCGCCAACTGCATCGTGCACAAGTTCGACAAATTGCTTCACTATGGTGCGAGAGTTGAGCGCAGAGCGTCTACCAGCTCTGGCGACCGTCGTCTCTTCAAACAGAAATGAGACTCCAGTTCAAGGCAGCCGAATGGCAACTTGTGTCAAATTACTCGCACACGTGTAATCGCACTGGAAACTTGCAGATGAGTTTATGTATTGATGAGACACCACTGACTCTATGCATGTCATGATGGGGACAAAATCTATGTCGGGCGGTCATAACTCCCAGCCCTGTCCTCTCCAATACAGTCTAACCCAGGAATACCGTTATTGTGCAAACATAAGCCAATGGCCAACTCCTCCAACCAACCCTGCCACCCAAGTCGTCGAACCACTCCTGTGCTCTAAATCGTGTAACGGAAGAAGGTCGCGTTGTCACCCTTCTCGCGCTCGAGCGCCCTCTCGGCGGCGGTGTACTCCTCAGGCTTCTTGTACTCGCGGTCGCGGCGGGCGTTCTCGCGGCGCAGATAGATGTGCATAAAGATGCTGAGCACCAGAGACATGGTTAGGGTGCCAAGCAGCGTGCCGTGGCCGGGGTAGAACTCGGGGCCGTGGGTGGACTGGTAGATGAAGCCGGAGATGGCACCACCGAGGTTACCGAAACCGACGTGCATGGCAATGCCAACACCACGCTTCAGAGAGCCACCAATGTTATTGCCGTTCCAGGCTACACCCTGGGGTACGTTGGGGTAGATACCCATAGCAGCGAAGAAGCAGCCGGCGTACTTGACCTGGTTGTTCTGCGAGACGATGAGGAGAAGGAAGCCGAGGATGCTGGTTGATACGTAAGTCATGTGCACTCTGACGAGAATCAAGCATGGGGTGAGCTTACGAAACGCAGATGAAGAAGATCATGAAAATACCACGCTGCCCGACGCGATCGGCATACCAGCCGGCGCTGACGCAGCACACGCACGCCACGATGTAAGGGGGAACGGTCATCAGCTGAGCCGTCTCGTTGCTGTAACCGAGGCCACGGACAATGGTGGGCAGGAACAGAGCGTAAGAGTACAGAGGGGTGTAGATGCCGATGGTGATGAACTGTTTCAGTCGTCAATATGCGATCCTTTTGACCCTTTAAGCAAAAGTGCGTCGCTTACCATGTGAACCCAGATCTTCCAGTCCTTGAGAGCGTCCCAGAAGTAGCGCATGTCAAACTCATCCGCGAGCGACGAGCGGTCGTGTTCCAGGCGGCGGAGAACCTCCTCCTTCTCAGGTGTCGTGAGGAACCGGGCCGTGTTAGGGTAATCGTGCATGACAAAGTAGGCAATGATGGCTGCTGAGCGTTAGTGCGTGGTCGTTGCAGTTGTTGATGAAGAAACAGAACATACCGACGACAAAGGTCAGGAGACCCTCGAGGATGAAGATCCAAGCCCAGCCGTCGAGGTTGCCAAGTCCGTCCATCTCGACGATGCCACGGGCAAGGAGACCACCAAAGGCACCGGCGGCCGTGGCGGCGGAGAAGAAGATGGCCATGCGAAGACCACACTCCCTGCGACGGTACCACATGGCTGCGAAAGTTAGCACACGCTGGCCCGACTCGGTGGACAGCAGCTGAACTTACTGATGTAGTAGGTGACACCGGGGAAAAGCTTTGCACAGAGTCAGATCCGACAGCATTACTGTTGACAACGAGTTCAAAGACTTACACCACCCTCAGCAACACCAAGAGCCATACGAGCGGCGAGGAGACCACCATAGTTGGTGACAAGACCCATGAGAGTCGTGCAAATAGCCCAAGCACTAGCATAGGGTTAGTTCTGATGTATCACCAAGCCAACGTGTGGCTGGCGAGAAGATCCCAAGGCGTTTACTTACACCATGATCGAGGGAATCCAGATGGAAGGGCGGAAGCGCTTCATGGCCATGTTGGAGGGGATCTCTGCCGCGACGTAGAACGGGAAGAAGACGGCGAGGGCGACATTGTACTGTAGACCCTTCATGCCGAGGTCCGCCTCGATGCCGGCGAGACGGGCATTGCCGATGTTGGTACGGTCGAGGAAAGAGAGGAGGTAGAGCAGAGCAAGGAAAGGAATCAGAGCCCAATCAATCTTGCGCAGGAGCTTCTTGGTTGCCTGGGCGTCAAAGCCGTGGCGTTCGGGGTCGCTCGCGTAGTCGACATCGATGGACTCTTGCTCCTTGTGGACGGGCGCGGCCGGGTCGACCTTGACATCTTGGTCGGTGGACGACATGGCTGGCGGGATTGCGTTCTGAGTTTTTGCGGCTCAACGATGAGAGACTGGGACCAAGTCAGCTTTTTCTCTTTTTCTCGAAATAATTTGCAGCTGAGCGTTTTCAACGGGACAATGTGCCGAAGTGAGACCCCAGCTTGAGATTAACATTGAGACACTGTCTCTGTAGTGTGCCCATCTCGGTGCTTTTGTGAGGGGTGTATGTGATACGGGTAAGGTGCGAAAATGAGATTGCACAGCATAAGAAATGTCATGTGCAGAAGGACACAGCGCGGTGCGTCGCAACCATGTTTGGCGCGAGAATGAGAGCCCGCTTAGGAGTGTGGGCAAGATCACATACCTGTCTCTGGAGAGCTTATGACAGAAGGAGGAAGGAGCTGTCTATTGCGATGTTTCCAAGGAAAACTTTGCGCGTGGGCGGGTATCTCGTGGTTGTTGCGCGCCAAGACTGGTGTAAGTCGCAACAAGAACCGAAGAAATAACAAGAGACAGCGCAACCTCGTACAACTGACGCTGAACAGGAGGGATGCCCTCGAGCTTTAAATGAATCAACAATCGCAACGCGACAGCGCAGCACAGACTTCCCCCCGTTGATCAGACCAGAGGGAAAGGAACGACGGACATGGGCCAGCTGTCGATGAGCCCCCTCCCCTTGCTTACACCAATGGGGTTGGGATCGGCCTAGACCCCCCTCTGCCGCCTGGTGGAGGACGGGGGAGCGTCTCCATGTCTCCACGTCCCCAGAGCTAAAAGCCAAACCCAGAAAATATGCTTGAAAGTTAGCTCTAGCCCTTGGGCCACATAACGACCCTCTCCATCCATCCACATGAGCTTCTCCAACAACTTAGCGCATCTTGTCAGATTGTGTATCAACCTAGCCTTGCTAGAGTACCAAGCGTGCGTGCTTCGCATGCATGGACAGCTTCACCTTGGCACTGCCAGAGCCAAATAGCCTCCGGTGTCCGCTGAGCCGTGACTCCCATAGTCTCAACGCGTGCTCGAGTGGAGAGGCCAAATACCGCTGTTCTTTCTGCCGAATTCCCCACGTCAACTCGCCCCGTTTGGTCTCCCCCTCTCCCAGGGTCGGTGGTGGAGAGAAAGAGGGGGCTTGGTCGCGATCCCCCACAATGTGAGAGGGACTCAAGATTCAGAGGTCCTTGTTTTCCCCAGGCTGTGCTCCGCACCCGCAACTCGTCTGGGGTAGACCGTCTCAACTTGCCCGGACACCCCCCGTCGAGCGATGGTGGTAAGCGCCTTTTCGGGTGAGTGGATGATGGGCTGGCAAACGCTCCGCACAAAACCCTCCTCTCATCTCTGTTCCTTCTCGAACAGCCGCTGGGTGGCTGCAGGGGCCTTAGATCCTTCCCATCGGGTCCTTTCATCGTTCGTTGGTTCGAATTTGCAATACCTGGTACCGGTGGATTGCACACACACACATACACACACACAAGCGAATCTTTCGACGGATGGGGATTGCCACGGGTAAAAATGGCAAGTCGTAAGCAGCCGCTATGCGCAAATCTTTGGTCCAATGCTTGTTGTTGCTTGGAAATCTCTTGGTTGTGCTTGTCGATGCTTGTTCAAAGCTTGTCAGTCAGTGGAGGGGCGTCATTCGCCCACCAACAACAGGGAATCGCATCCTTGTCGACCACCCACCCCGTGTCCCCATGATCGAGATGTGGGAAAGGAGCAACGGATCTTTCAACGCATAGTAATGCTTTAGCAACACTCGACGAGGCCCGTCAGTCCGGATCTCTGACTTGGCCGAACCTCTGTATCGAGAGTGTACCAGCCGAGGTTCACAAAGCATTCACGTCTAGCCCATGTCGCCATGTGCGTTTTCGCCGAGAGGCTCTAG